TTTATATAGATATTAACATACCGTGGAACAGGTCAGTATGTTAATATGAATAGAAAACACTTCTTAACTCAACTCAACACAATTGAACAAAATGAAGTTCGTTTAATGAACTGAGTATATTTTATATTGATATCATTTATGACGTACGTAAAACAGATAATATAAGAATCTATGATCAAAACACGATGAACTGGACGAGTAAACTCTATGTTTCGAGTGCACTTACGTATCTATATGTTTTTCGACCATCTTTTGTAGATGTTTTTGATTGAAGAGAATCATTTAAATATGAGAAGATACTTAAATTGGTAAAAAGCAGAGAAAAAGATTCATACGATGTAACTACATTCATCTACTGACCTTCATTTCAGATATTATTTATAAATAAAAATTTCAATAGATTTCTTAATAAGATGAATGGACGGTGAAATATGTTGTTGTGATTGTACGATGATTTCTTCAATTATTGAATTATATTTTAATATTTTTCTTGCTTTCATTACTTGTACAACTACAGCTTGTAGATAAAATCTTCGATCAACATCAACGGCTTTTTAAAACACTTCTGAATGCGAAAATAATTAAAGATCAAGATAAAGCAGGAGAAGATCTTAAAAATCAGGAGTTTCTTGGTTAAATCAAAGGATTTGGCAACCCTACTATATATCATTCTAATCAAATAGAAATCTAATCGAATGTTAGATTCACTCTTATACATAGACAAAATCAATGTCAGAATTATCATTTATTGTACCATCACATGCACATGTTTAAACAAAAATTCAGAAACATGTTCTGCTCAATGATGTTTATTATAAATAGAATCAAAATGATACAAAAGACATATTCTTTCTCAATGTCTTCTCGGTTCATTTAACTAATAATATTGTATTGATAATTTTTATTATGTAATTTTTGAATATCAATGTATATATGATTGAATGATGATTAAATGAAATGCAATGTATTAATGGTTTAACACTTATTTTGATTTACGCGAAGCCATATTTAATATTACAAATTAGAAAACAAATGAATCTGAATCAGAGTATTAGATACGAATAACTTAGGGATGATTGACGCTTAAGATTTGCATCTATTATTGTAAATAGAAATAAAAAAACTAACCTCAGATTCCGATTCTCCAACCTCGAATACCTTTGGTCAAACTTTATCGGATCGTCAAAGGTGACTTTTATTGGTTCAGTGCGTGCTGAATTCTCATAGGCTTAGATGAATAAACTTTATGTATTTGAAGCCGACGGTTTAAACGCTGTATAACTATTACTTTTAGAACAGGGAATAAATACATAGAACAAAATAGTAGTTATAAATTATGATTTTGATAACTCTTGAATAGGACTTCAATTCAATATAATACTCATAGATAAAAGTGATACTGATCTTTTTTTGTATAAAAAATTTTAAAAGTTATTTAAATACTGCTCAAGCTCTTTCTAATTATATTCATCGTTTACTAGCACTATTTCGAAGAGTATGTTTCGACTTGCTCAAGACAGTTTGACCGATTGAACTGCAGGTGTAATCACATACTTTGCACATATAACTAGCCTTATTTGTACAGTATACACTAGCAGGCACAATTTTTTTTTGCTAAGAACTTCACAGAATTATTCGACGACTTCGCCATTCGACTAAGGGATCTTGTGTGCTCAAGCATCGATAAAACTCATATAGTAACATATCACCTACCTCAGCAACCGAAAAGTAATCGTTCAGTATAACAGCAAAAATGAATTTGAATTATGAAATGAATTTGAATTATGAAATGAATTCTAAATGTATTCCACTTATTCTTCTACTTAAACAACCTCTACTGAGAATCAAATTCAACATTGTATGTTTTGTCGTTAAATTTTTGACAGTATTAATTCTGTATTCCATCGCAAATCTCAATCAGCATTCAAATTCATGGCATCATGTTGAAAAAAGTTTGCATTATAACTTGTAAATTCTATCAGAATTAAGACGGAACACAAAGATTCTCTGTTGAGTTTTTAAATATTATTGTATCGACTGAAAAACATTCATTTTAATAATTATAATGTCAAAATGTGATACTGACGTGTTTCTGAAACTAAAATCTCATTAATTATTAGATTAGATTCAGAAAGAATAAATTTCTTTATCATAGTGGATTACAAAAACTGACGCTTCCTGAATCATATATTGAATAAAAATATTTCTGGGCATCATCTTGTAGAATAGCTTAAAATAAATTAGGGATGCAATAGTCACGATCAATCACCGGTTCGTGTTCCACTTGTATACTGATTTATACATCACCACAAATTTTACAAAGAGTACTAAATAATTCTTAAGTTCAATACATCGAAAAATAGCTAAGATTTATGAAGTTTTATATGTGTAACCGAGCAAAAAGGTTTCGCAAACATACTTTAAAAAAATAGTTTTCAAAATCTGTGGAACCTAAAAAGAATCTGTTCGGAGGTATCTACAATCCGAAATATACCCTACGAAGTCTTTTATAAGTTCCGTGCAGCGAAAATAGATTATTAGTAAATAATACGTCGAGATGCAAAAAACAAGTCAGAATTACAAACGGAGTTTATCAACAATCATTTTGACAAATTTTAAATAATTAAAGTGATTTGAAACAAAAAATAAAACTCATTTTAGTGTACATATCGGCATACCCCGTCACTTTAATTACAAATTTTACATTCATTAGTGACTTATACGGATACAGAACATTACGTAAAAGTGCGGAATCGTAATTGATGTGAATCGGTTTTCTCAATGAAAGTTGCTTTATTAATGCGTTTTATACTTAAAATTTACTTGTATATCTGCGTTTTATGGAATCTTTAACACATTAATGGATTTTGCGCATTTACCATTTGATGTCAACTAAAACTTTGATCAAAATAACTTGTTTTTCCTTTGCCGTGCTTACGGTAAGAACGTCATTCAAATTTTTATTATGAGGTGTGTCATAAAAACTACCTTCAGATTTTCTATCTGTCTTACATTTAAAGTCTGAACTTGTATTTTACTAATATAATTTTCCTTTCTAAGTGAAGCACTAATTTATTATAAGATATTTTACATAGTTTTTCAATTAATATTGAAGATTTAAATCTTCATTTATATTTCTTTTTAAATTAGGTAGTTAATGATTTTTTTTATCAGCGTCATCAACCTACATTGTTAGAAAAATTAATATGATTAAGTAATTTTAATATACAAAATGAACTAATTTGTAAATCTCGAAAATCTCATGTGACGTATGAGCATAAGCTTAAGAATAAAATCTCATTCCTAATTCTTCTGAATGACGAAGCTTGTTCTTAAAAATTCTTTTCTGAAGAAAAGATAGTCATTGAAAATATAATCATATTCGACTATTAGAAAAAAGTAATGTTTAATAAAGTACATATTCGTATGATGTTATCAAACTTTGATCTGATAGTCATATTTCCTTCGTTATTTTTAGATTGTAATCACAAATATATATTTAAACTAAATTGGCTATATCAATAATATGTCGTCTACTAGCACTACGATTAATCAACTTAATGCAGCAACAACGACAATTGTAATGGTTCTAACAATTGTCTGTTTTGCGCTAGGTGCAGTAAGTCTCATATTCAACGTAATAATTTTTACTCGACGATCTCTATGCCGTGAACCATGCTCAGTCTATTTTTTCTGGTCATCATCTTTCAATTTATTTATTGTATATGTGCTGGTACCTATTCGTGTTCTTGCCTTTGGATACAATATAGATATTTCAAGTTATAATAATGGAGTTTGCAAAATAATAAATTTTGTCAATTATTCGTCACGTGCAATAACCTGTTGGTTAATTGTATTGGCATGTGTTGATCGTTTTTGTCACAGTTCAACAAATGCAACTATTCGTCGAATGAGCTCATTGAAGAAAGCTAGATGGGGAGTAGGAATTGTAATTCTAAGCATCATGATATTATATAGTCACATGCTTGTTTACTATGGATTAAGCTATACGCTTAATCAATTCGGTAATACTGTGGCCACTTGCAATAGTCAAATAGGTACGTACCGTACCTTTATTGCATTCTGGTTTATGGCTTTATATTCACTTTGTCCATCTTTCTTTATGCTTCTTTTTGGTCTTCTTACATTGAAAAATATTCGTCAACATCGTCAAGTAGTTCCAACAGTAGCTGGAACAAATCAACTTGTTCGACGTACAGACAATCAGCTTTTGCGCATGTTAATTGCTCAAGTGCTCATGGTCTTCATTTCGACTTTGCCATACTCAATTTATCTATTGTATACGGGATTCACCAGTAACATTCAAAAGGACACACTTCGAATTACTCAAGAAAATTTTGCAGGTCGCGTTACGGGCTCTTTCATAAATTTTGCTCATACAACTAGCTTTTATTTATATACATTGACAGGTACAGTATTTCGTAAAGAATTCCATAGAATCATTCTGCGATGTCGTCATCCAACTCGAGATATTGTATCAACTACCTAAGACGAAACATGTTTGAAGACTGTTGTGCCTTTCAATCGAAAACTAACTATTACATACAATGAAGCGCCACTGTAATAACAATATAATTGTTGAACTAGAAACCTAATTTTATGTGTTAATTCATTGCTTTCTTTAAACCATGCTTTGTTTGCGTTCAAATAAAAATTCTTCCTGCTTTTGTTAAAGTTACAAAAATTGTCATATTCTTTTTCCTAACTGAAAAGTTTTTGAATTTTTGGAGATAGTGGTTTTGTCTTTTAAATTCTTCACCGCATTTATAACATGATATTCTATGGTATCAACAAATATATGACAGAATTATTCTCCTTACTTTTGGTTATCTAAAAAGCAACGTTTAATTTTTTTTCTCACTACGAGCAGAATCCGTTAATACTCTTAACAGTGTATTCTAACCAGGTATAATAGAAAATTCAGTATTTTGTCTGCATTAGACACTAATATACAGTATTTCTTATCTCATTCTTTCAATTTTTAACCTTATACGACCTTTAAATTATTGTGATTTCTCGAGAATGCTTGATAGCTATTTTTGTGACACATACAAAATAATTTGTTTAAGTGAGCTCCCTAAAGAGAGAGGTTTACTACTGGAAATAGTTAAAAAAATTGATAATTGACAAAATGATAGCATCAAACGATTTCGTGCGTTTGCTACAAAAAGACCTTCTTCGGTAAGAGTACACTAGCAGGAATGTTGTTAAGATATTGTAAAGGGACAATAAAAAGTTAAAGTTCATTATATCAATAATGGGATAAAATACTAAATATTGCTCACTGTAACTGGGAAAGTTTTAAACTCTTTCATTAATATAGTTCTTTAGATTCATCTTAAAAAAATATCGAAAAAAAAAAGATTCTTGTTTTTAATGATAAATATCAACTTAAAAAGAAGACACAATAGAGCTAAAACTTGTACGAAGATTATTTATGTTGCCACGCAAAAACCTTTATTGTTCAATTTTAAATGTTAAACCTGTCGTGACCAGATCTTTTTTTAAAGGTGAAATAATGAAAGAGGAGATTAGTCAAAGTCATTTTTGGTTGTATATATAATCGCGGGTGAAATCGAATTGCTACATAGTTTTTGAGATAATTATATCAATTAAAAACAGAAATAAGATTGAATTTTAATGTTTATATCATCACAGTTTCAGTTTAGCGGCAAACTTTACACTCATTAATATTATTAACATTTTGCGCTTGAAGTAATAATATTAGCTGAGACCTTCATCTTTGAACAATATCAAGTTGACAAGTCTGACGCTTTTTTTAAAAATGAGATTCGCCATAGGTAATCGTAAAGGCCTACTTTTTAATCAATATTCTTATTCTTTTCTCTGCTCTAGATGTTTAATTAATAATCCGACATGATCAAATATTGAGTAATTTCAGAAAACAACTCATTTCCAGATATTAATTTATATAGATTAACATTTTTTTAATGATATCTAGGATATGAGTAGCCAATGAGCAATGTTGAATATCTATTTTTTCTTCAATAGTCACAGAATGTATAATCAAATACATATTATTGATAAAAGATAACAGATCAGATGATTGTCGAATTTTGTTCAGTTTCTTAAACGATACACTGTTTTCACGCATTCATTACCAGATTCAAACTGTAATTAGAATAACAGGTCTATCCTACTTCTCTTTCATTCTTACGAGAAACATGTCAAATAATTTTTCTATATTTTATATGACGTACTTATAATTTAAATATTTCAAATGCATCACACATTCATTTTATGTCTTGTTTTTACTGTTTAATACTACAAGGTCTTTGTCTATATTTTAATTATATGAGAAACATCTTCCATCTTATACGTTTCTGTATCTGTTTACTTTTAAAATTTATACTTGAATTATCCTGTAGTAAAGTAAGGATTTATTGTAACAGTTTTTCATTATTCAAGTTGATATCAAATACATGACTATTCATTTACATCTGTTCTCAAATTGACTCATCTGTTTTCTGCAAATAAATTCAATAAATTATGCATTGTAGCACATACACTAAATCAAATCTTTCATTTTCTTTACTATTAAAATTCTAATCTACAAGCCTTGTTTATAGAAATAGTTGGGGGTGTGGATACTGTATTCACCAAGCATCCACACCTACATCGTCAGGCACATTCCAAATTTAGAATAGTTTAAAGACATTATGTAAAAAGTAAAAAAATACCATGAGAACTGATCTAGAATCATTAAAACAATAATTGTTACAGAGTCTGTATGTTGTAGATATTGTAAACATGATTCAAATTAATAAATCTATATTTTATTACTGATTTTAATAACTGAGTAATTAAGAAATTAGATTACCATTTATCAAAATGAAATTATCTCTTTAGTTAAACTAGTTATGTCATGCATTAACTTTCGAATGGATTGCTAATCTTTAATTAATGTCATATTCATAAATCTGATATTCTTCTTTAAGATGACACTTGTCAACACCTTACCTACAATTCGACTTTTCAATCGAGGATTATATTCTGTTATCTGCTTTCCATATTTTATTAATAAATCAACATGATCATATGTAGAATGACTTGAGATGATAATCTAGTTTAAAATATTAAGTATATACTGCTAAACATTTGTTTTTACTATATTTACATTTAACCTTGAGAAATTATATTCTAAATTGATATTTTTTTAGTGTAATTAGTTTTAATTTGTTAAAATAATAAGGACTAGGAGTACACCAATAAAAAATGTTTATTATTAAAAGATAAAACTCGATTCTCGTTTTAATACATAATGATCAATTGCCAATTTTTTAACGATTTCGAGCAATTGAAAATTCATCAACAATGTTGAACACACATTTTCTTCTTCGGTAGTCAAATAAAATAAAAGATTGAAATTCTTTTCCAGTAAATAGATCGGACGATTGAGGTTTGTATCTTACGTAAGTTCTGACCTACAAAATACTTTTATATAATTCTTCTTCAATATCTTATTGAAACTATAATCAGAATAAAATTAATCTCTTCCTTTTTCTATAGCATATACGTCATTTAAATTTGTATTCATAGTAGTTGTCAGAATATTAATCTTCGCCTCTCTTACCTTTCAATATTATGAAATTTTTACTTGGGCTATAAGTATAAATCTTTTACGTTTTTTCTTTACTAGTTTTGTAAAACTTGTATTGAACAATCAAATCTCCATCTGATTTTGTTCTGAAATTGAGAGATTTAGAATTTTTCAGACAGTATGTTTTTTCTTTTTTTTAAAGTCATCAATGTTGGCCGTTAGATAATAGAACACCATTAAGTAATTTCACTATATAAAGTTAATAAATTTTAAAATGCTGTAAGTCTAATTTAACAATATGGATAAAAATCCTCTTATGCCCTTATCCTTGCCTTGTGAAAGAACTACTCAAAAACCTTGTGCAAGGAAGCACAAAGATTAAATCTAATCCGATGAGGAAATGACCGACTTTGCGACTTAATTCATTTCAATGAGTTTTAAAGTCATTAGTCATGATGAGTTTTATCTTTCTTTTATGACTTTTTCTAACTTTACGCCTGTTTCTTATAAAGATTCATTGTGAGAGAAGAAGAATCGTGAAGGAGAAGTTGAATAAAAGTTTATATTTCCTTTACTAATGTTCGTAGAAGTGTATTAGACTGATATGGAATATTTGCTCGTTTTTCTCGACTATTTTATGCTAAGTTTTGACATAATTTGATAGTAACTCAATGTTGATGTGCATGCTATCATCGATTCTTGATGATTTACGAAATCTGTAACAGTAGATGATCTAAAGACAGCTTAAGTCATCAAAGTCAGTCGTTTCCCTCTTGATCTAAGTTCTCATTAGGGTTGAGCTAATATATGATTGCTTAGACATAGAAGGCTAGGTCATAAACGGAAAAATTCTACAGTTGTATTTAAAAAAACAAGAAGGTTCTAGTACTGTATTGATTCTCATAGTTACATTCTGTCTGTTATATTTAGATTGTAATCATACGTACACTTTTTACATAGATTGGTTATATTAATAATATGTCGTCTAATAATACCTACATTAATCAGCTAAACACAGCATCAACGATGCAAGTGTTGGTACACGGAATTATCAATTTGGTATTAGGTGCAATTGGTCTCGTATTCAATATTCTTGTTTTTACTCGACCATCTTTACATCGTGAACCATGCTCAGTCTATTTTTTCTGGTCATCATGTTTCAATTTAATAATTGTATATGGAATTTTGCCTTTACGCATTCTCGGAAATGGTTTCAATATAGACTTTTCCAATCGGTATATTGTACTCTGTAAAATAGAATATTTTGTTAACTATGGTGGCCGCTCAGTATCTATTTGGTTAATTGTATTGGCATGTGTTGATCGATTTTGTCACAGTTCAGCAAATGCAATTATTCGTCGAATGAGTTCATTGAAGACAGCAAGATTGGCAGCAGGAGTTGTTAGTATAATCATAATGATCTTATACAGTCATATGCCCGTTTACTATGTATTAACCTATACGCTTAATCAGTTCGGTAATGTTGTATCTACTTGCAATGGTCAAATAGGTACGTATCGTACGTTTCTTGGATTCTGGTATATGGCTTTATATTCACTTTGCCCATGTTTTTTAATGTTCCTCTTTGGTTTTCTTACACTGAGAAATATTCGTCGGCATCGTCTAATCGTTCCGACAGCAGCTGGAAGAAATCAAGTTGCTCGACGTACAGACAATCAACTTTTGCGCATGTTAATTGCTCAAGTGACAGTAATCATTGTGGCTACTTTACCAAATTCTATTTATCAATTGTACATAGCATTCACTAGTAATGTTCCAAAGAATACCCTTCGAGTAGCCCAAGAAAATTTGGCAGGTCGTACTGTGGGTCCCTTAATAAATTTTGCTCATACAAGCAGCTTTTATTTATATACATTGACGGGAACAATTTTTCGCAATGAGCTTCGCAAAATCATTCAACGATGTCGTCATCCAACTCGAAATGTATCCACAGCTCAACATGGATCAATTCTAAAGACTGTTGTGCCTAGCAATCGAAAATTGATTACAACTGTTAATAATCAGACAAAATAACAGTTCTTTCTATCTCTGAACTTGGTAGTTAATGTATTTATATATAATTTCTTTTTGAACATGCTTTATTTACATTCAAATAAAAAATCCTCCCTGCTTTTGTTAAACCTATAATACTCTTGACATATTTTAGAACAGTTCAAGAGCTTTCGAAAAAACTAGTTTGAAACAATGGAATCATTTTTATATCGTTTTGTTAGTACATACTCAATTAGGTATCAAATTCACAACATGAGACTGAATAAACTAAATCCTTGAAAATAACAGTCGCTTGTTATAAATGATATTAGGTTAGTAACAAAAATTTTACTTTTAATTTTCATCTTCAAAAGTAAAACTAGCTTTCAGTTATATATGCATTACTACTATCAATAACTTGTCGCTATCGCTCTAGTAGGGATAGGATCCCACGTTCGTAGAAGTCCTGCAACTTTTTCTCATGCGGATGATTAGAAAGAGAACGAAATAAATGGTAGTCGATTGCGGGTGAGTATGAATGTAGATGAAGAAGCCAACAACGTCCAGCCCACATTCTCAATGTGATATTAAAATGCCTTTGTTTCTGATTTCTGCCTTTTATAATTGATTGAAATAACCCTTATTTTTTGTTATTCTATTTAGAATTAATATGAGAAAGAATCGATAGGAACACATAATAAAATATACACAAAATAAGAGATTACCAGCATAATAGAGAATCTTAATATTTTCTTGGATAATAACTAGAAAAAATGACAAGAATTCATTCTTCATACATCAAGTAAGTTTTTGATATGGATGTTCTGTTTTGCTTCATAATCTTGATATTTTATATTTTTTCCTTCTTCTTTTTCTTGAATTATAATTATCAATGAAATGTTATTTGCTTTGAATGAGATTGAGTAGATAGTGTTTATTGATATTTTATTAAATATGAACACATATGATTAGTTGATTGATAATCTTATTCACATTAATGACAACAAATATTGTAATTTTCATAATTTTCAATAAAACTATCTTCAAGAAATTTCATCATTGAAAATTAAAAAATTGTGTTAAAATATTCTTATTCATTGTATTCGAATTCAGACTAAATCTCTACTCGTAAATGTTGATATGTATTTGTTTGTGTTCTATAAATTAAATATAGAATTTAATTAGAATAAAAATTTATTTCCAGCTTCATCTAGTGTATCATAAATACGAAATCATATTGTATTTAAATTATAAATATTTCGATACATATAAACAGTAAATGTATTTTCATCAGCTTTACAAATTGGTATATATATTTAGAATTTCTGTACAAAGAAATAGTCTTCATGTTGACGTTCACCTTATATTAAATCTATTCGTGGAATACTTTTTAATAATTGTAGCTCTGAATGTGTTAATTACAATTAAAACATCATATTTTATATGAAATATTGAACAGATGACATTAATGATGTTTGACTAAATATTTTCTCATTATTGCTTGTAAATCTTTTGAGTTTCGGCGACGTATAAATATACCTGAATATAGTTATTAAACAAAAATAATTCTAGGATATTTTTTAATTATCTAGAAAATCTTTTCACTGCATCAAATCCTATAAGAAGCTTTTCATTCACTTGTTGGCAATAAAAGTTCATAATCCGCTGGTAATTTACAAAATGTAGAGGAATATTTTGATCCATCTATCTCACTTTCATATTAAAAATATCAGAATTGTTTTGGCAAACATATGATATATGTCACGACTGCAGTGTATCTTCATGTATCATTCAGTATTTTAAACATTATTCCATGAAGATAAATTACTAATATTTTGTTTTCATACTGAAATGCTATTTCTTTGTAAGAAAAATTAATCATTTCTCCTAAAAATTTTGATTCTTATTCTAAAAATATATAGTTGGCGCTCAAAGGTTTTTAATGATTTATATGACATGTTTGTAATTTTATGAACAATTTATGAACTATTTATCTTTACTCAATTTTTATTTTCTAAATATACTTAAATTTATTATTTATTTGAAACATTTACATGTAATATTAAATCTTTCATTTGTATGTCTAAAATAGAATCCTAATATTCCAGGTATATTCTAATCTGTGTACCTTTTCGATACTCGCTTGCGAAATGCTCTGTTTACATATTTTCTTATATTAAATAAAAATTAATTAACACAAATCTTTTACGAAGAAAAATAAATAATCTTATTTCAGCAAAATATGTCACAGCCACTCTTTAACATTAAAGATTTTCCTTATTATACAACTAAAGTAGATGAACTATTCGTTCATCTTTGACACGTGTTAAAAGAAGATTATATTTTCCATTTTGATAATGCTAATGAAGAATTATCTATAATGTAAAGATGTTTATAAATTTCATTTGCTTCAACAATGAACAACAAAACGACTCTCACAGCAGGTTTTGTATTACCTTTATTTACAGTCATTTGTGGTTCAATAGCTAGTATAGTGTCCGCTATTATTTTGTTAATTATTATTTATCATCAACATAATAATCGAATAAAACAAGAAGAAAGAATTAATTTGATTTTATGTGCTAATATTTATCTTTATATTTTTCTTTGTTCAACAATTTTAATTTTACTAAATATTCAAACACTGTTAGGTGATCTTTATGGTTTGAATTCTAATTCAACACCATGTGTATTTCTTGGATACCTTAATGCTGTTTTGATCTGTGCTTTATATTATGGATTTATTGGTCAAGTGAGTATAAATAATATGTATAGTTATCCTATAACTTGACTGCCATGTGATGTCAATTTGAGATAGTTTCTGAAGACGTTGTATGAAATAGTAGTATGTAGAAAAGCTAAAATTACGTTTAATACTACACTAACTTTGAAAGATAATATATTTTCATTAGTTTAGGCTTTATACCGACTTTGTCGTATTGTATATCCAAAACACAAATGGCTTCAAGTATATTGGCTTTATATTATTGAAATACCATCTCAATTTATTAGTGCTTGTTTAATTATGTGTCCGCTCTACGTTTGGCATGATATCACTTATATACCTGATTTATATCAGTGTTTTATACCAACTCACAATATTCTCGGTACCATTTGGGTCGGAGTAATTGGCCGAAGAAAGAATAGACGGCCGAATCGATCGAAGGCGCTGATTGGCTGTTGCGGTAAACTCGTTTAACCTATAGCTGTCGATCCGTAGTTTACCTGCAACAGTCTAATATATATCGATATATATATGTATATCGATAAATGTACAAAGGTTTCGGAGTTAAGAGAACTTTCCTAATGACTTTTAAAATAAAAGCAAAAAGATTTTTAATTCATTAATAACTATCTTAAAATTTTAGATGTAAAAGCCTTTTACAATTAAGTGGTTTCTATCGTATAAATTACATTTTTCTACGTCATAATGACTGAAGCAACTTCATATCGATGTAAGCCGTTTTTTTTAGAACATTTCATGATGCTTTTGTTTTCTATTTAGCTACAAATTCATCAAAAAATAAATCAAGTGTAAAAGAATTGATTCACGCATTAAAAAATGGTGAGAAACTTGATTGTTTGCCTGATGTAATTCAGACTGGTGTATTTTATCGTCTTGCATTATGTTCAAATACTCAAGGTAAGTTTTATTTTGTTGATAATTTCATTACACATTTTTTATTTGATTAGATGGGTACAAGTTAGATCCTTTTCTATGGAAAAATACAGGCACAATACCATATCCAAAAAATAATCCTGAATTTATCAAAATTTATTATTCGTGCATTAATGCTGAGAAGAAAAAAGATGGTCGATGTGTAAAACATGTTTATATATCTAAAACAAATGTTCTGGATGTCCTTGTTCATTATCATGGTAAGAATTTAATTTTTCAAGATCGAGCATTATTTATTTTCTTTTATTTAGGAAATCTTGATATTGCAACAAAACATTCACATGGAAATTCTCAATTAATCAATTCTCATGTACATCGCAATGTGCCTTCATCAGTTGTTAATGAAATAGATGGATTAGTAACAACAATGTCAGGTGCTGCTGCTTATAAAACATTATCTGCTACAATTGATAAAGATGGTAGTCCACGAAACGAATATCAATGCAAATATCGACGAAGAAAATATTTAGAAAGTCAACGAATCAGCACAGATGAAATTCTTAATATTGGTCTGTTAGGTTATGAACTTAATGGGTTTTTCAAATTCATGTTATGGCAACCACAATTAGTTATCGTCTTGATGCATGATCAAATGAAAAAACAATTTTCAAGTCTTCTTAAACTAACTGAAGAAATTATTCCTTTATATTATGATACTACATTTTCCTTGGGTGAAGTTTATGTTTCAGTACGGACAATTTATACTGTTAAAAAATGATTTTCTAACCGTTTTCTCCATTTAGATATTGAGTTTTCGACATACAATGTTTACTGAACGACCAATACTTCCAATTGCCATTCTAATGCATGACACTAAACAAGAATATGCACATGATAATATAGCTCGTGTACTTGAAATGGAATTACCAGATTTGTATAAAAAATGTGTATTTATAACAGATCATGAAATCGGATTTAAAAATGCTTTTCGAAAATGTTATCCTACAATGCCACAACTTCGTTGCTGGAATCACGCACTAAAAGATATTAAAATTGCTGCTAAAAAGTACTTACATGTTGAACAACAATCACAAACTACTGAACAACAACAAACACCATCTGATGAACAACAAACATCTAATGAAGATACACAAATGAAGATTGAACAACAAGATGATAATCTTTTAACAAAAAAACAACTTGTAGCTTGTGTTATGGAAGAAATCAAAGATCTTCTACGTTCAACCACTCGTGATGAATTTATCAATGAATATGCAAACGTTTCTCAGTCGTGGTCACCAGAATTTTATCATTACTTCGAAACATATTGTTTACCATCAATCGATGAGTTAGGTAAGTCCAAATAATTTCTTCCTTTGACAAGTCGACTTATCCTTTATATAGTATCTTTTGACTAAAACGATACATTCATTTTTTTTCTTCCTTTGATAAGTCGACTTATCTCACGTAGATAACTCGACTTATCCTTTACATCATTTTTTTTTACTAGATTTATACATACATTCTTTCCTCCCTTTGATGAGTCGACTTATCCTTTACATAGGATCTTTTGACTAGATCTATACATTCCATTTTTTCTTTCTTTGATAAGTCGACTTATCCTAATGAGACAAGTCGACTTATCCTTTACATAATATTTTTTGACTAGATTTATACATTCAATTTTCCTCCCTTCGATAAGTCGACTTATCATTATGTTTTTTATATACTATTGATGTTGTATCATTTAGGTGCTTGGTCTAGTCTTCCGATGAATCTATTTGATGATATGTCTGGTGTAACAAGTAATCCTAGTGAAAGTATCAATGCTGTGTTCAAGCGGTGGCTTTGTTGGAAAGAATTATCACTTGATGCATTAGTTCAAATGTTTTATTTAGTATTAGGTTATTATGTCAATGAAATTAGACGTGGTTTTTCTGGATATGGTTTGTACTTCGTTTTCAATATTCTTTGTTAAATCTGATACTATGTGTACTAATCGTTTCTCTTTTTATAGGCAATTATCATTTACAATTAAAATATAATGATTCAAAGGTTGATCCTGCTCTACTAACATTTGTTTCTGGATTTTCACCTGATGTGGCTGTTGAAAAAATGAGATCTCTGTTACTTAAGCGAAAATCATCTGAAAATCATGGCGATTCTGGAATGAATTCTATAATAACTAAATTGGATTTTAGCAGCTTGAACAATGATGGTGATATTAGCATTTTACAAGATTCTGCGATGAATCCAGCTCTTCAAGATACATCGATTCAAGGTCCAACAGAAGATAATGATAAATCTTCCTATCGTGCAACATTAAGTAATACTGATCGAGCTGAACTTCATATTCAACAAGGTTTAGTGAAATTTCATGAAGATAGTGGAGCTTTTATTGTACGTTCTCTTGATCATAATTTGGTTCATGCTGTTCATATGAGTGATCCTAAACGACTTTTTCGATGTTCATGCTCAAACACAACGCAAAGTTGTTTTCATATACTTTGTGTTAAAGTATATTTGAGTAAGTTCACATTTCAAAAGATTAAAATCTTGTCAATTACGCTTTCTATTTTACTTTTAAGAGATGCCGATGGACAAGTCCAATGAAAAAGTTAATCTTGGTCATTCACGAAAACGTAGAAGAATCGAAGACAAGATCACAAAGCCTGGTGGAAAACGACCTCGTCGATGTGATAAAGATCCAGAAAAGAAAAATACATCTCCATATTTTCATTCGAATGAGAACAGTTCAACAATTCTTTCACAAACAAAACAAATAGGCATTGCTTCTCAAACAGCTTCATTAAATAATCCATCATCGATTACTCGTGCACTTACAGATATATCTAATGTACCTTCAAGTTCAACTGCTCTTGATTCTATTCAACGAAGAATAACATCGATTCGTTTTGTCACACCAATAAATATCAGTATGCCATTACGACAATCAACCGAATCCTTAGTTCTTAAACCACTCTAGGTTATGTAAGTTTTTCAGAATGGATGTTTTTGCAATTTTAATATATTTTTATCTTTATTCTAGTGTTGTACATCGTGACAATAGTTTTTTTTTGTTTCTTGATTAGTAAAGCTTTACAAGATATTGCTAGTAATATACTTGTTGTGATACAGTTAATATACAGATGATATGGTTTACTGTGTTAAAATACTGACAAGATTTAATTGTATTTTTATCTTTACGATTTTTGTGTGTTTTTCTTATAGCATAAGGACATTGTTTCAGGAATGATTTTGTAGTTTTTCTTATTTTTTATTCTGTATATCATGTAATTTTTTGATCAAGCTTTTGTGTCTATTTACAGGTGAAAATAATTCACTATATGTTTGTTTATTTGTGTTGGTTGATCATACTTATTTTTTTCTTATTATAGATTTACTTATATTAATTCATAATGCACAAAGCTGTATTCGTGAAGCCGGTTAATACTATCAGTAAGTCAGTTATACTCGTGTTTCAGTATGATCTAGTGTGATAGATGATTATTTAGATGATTTATGTTTGAAAGTAAAAGAAGCATATATCGAAAACAAAATACCTATACCATATCCAGCTGCAAATAAACAACTACAATTGCGATTAACACAATTCGTTTCTAAAGGTAAAGTTCTTATTTAATTAATAAACAGTTAATTGTGCATCTGTTCTTTAAAGGTCTATCCGATGAACAGTCAAGTTTACCGTTTGACAAGGTAAATTCTAAACGAGTATATACTTTGGAAAAACATGATAACATTGTTCAATTGATGATGTTTGTTAAAGAAAATGATCAAACAAGTATTTTTCCATGTTATTTTAAAGATTATCATAAAAAAAGTGATTTTTATTGTAGAAAAATTGATTGTATTAACAGTTGATGATGAAATTCAGTTAGTTGTTTCGTCTTTCATGGAAGTGTATGAACGAACGGGTTTTCTTGAATCGACACCTAAGTGCCATAAACGATTAGATAATACTTATTTAATTTCAAACAAAAGAATTCGTATTATTCAACGAACACTGTAAGATTTACATATTATAAATCTCATTATTGTTCTTATCAATTTTAGAGGAAAATTTATTGCTTTATCATATAATGATGAAAACAAAGATGTTTCTACTACAAATTCAGCACCAGAAATTGATAGTAATGACACAAATGAAAATGAAGATTGTAATGATACAGCTGTTGCTGATGTAGATAATCAACAACTAAAGTAAGTGCTTTCCAGAAATTATTTGAACAATTTATTATCATAATAAAGATTTCATATATTCTGATATATTAGCAGAAATGTTCCCAATACTGTTTTGCAAAGTACTGAAAATATTTTGACACCATCTTCATCAAAAACAACTGTCATGACACGTTCAAGATCTAAATTGGACAAAAATCAGAATGGTCAATCAATAGAACGGTAAAGTTTTGTTCAATTTATTTCCTAAAACTATTTTATAACTATGCTCTGTTTGTAGTGTTGATACTTTAAAGTCTTCTAAAAGAAGAAAAATTAGATAATGTGAAATTTGGTTATTGTTTGTCTACTGATCGAAGTAATCGTTCTATATCACTTGGTAATAAATCTTTCATAAATCTTAACTATTTGATTATCTAGACTGTTTTCTCAATACATATGTCTATATTGTAATTCATTTATTTTTTATTGTTTTCAAAATTTTGTTACTTTTTTGTTGTGCTGATATCTCTTGCGAAACTTTATAGTTTCTTGTCAAAATAAATGATACATTTAGAAAAGTATTTTATACACAGCTACTATGACCAAAATTAATATAATGTGTTTGTGAATGTAATTTTGTATAGTCGATTAAAATATTTAAGTCTGGGTTCTTTCAAATATTATCAATAATTTCTTTAACTTCTTTAAACCATCAATCTAGTAATTATCAAGAAGCTAATAAACCGATGATTATTCAGTTTTTACTCAAAACATTTAAGATATATTGCATGATGGTGACATCTTTTAGAATTAATAGCACTTTAAATGTATAAGATATATGAAATAGAACAGCCAATCAGTTTATTAGTCTTCTTCGTTCTTCGGCTTCGGCTTCGGCCAATTACTCCGACCCGTACCATTTGGATAATAGTTTTTTTGTACGGACTGCCTATTTTTTCTTTATCAATTATTTATATTCGTATCACGATACATATTCGTCAACAATCAACTAATCAGACGATTGCAGTTAAACGTCGACAAGCGCGAGATTTTGTTGTTATTCGACGCATTATAATTCTTAATAGTATACTGTTTATTTTGGTAGTACCGGGCATGATTATGTTGGTCATCGATTATATCACAGGAAATGAACTAACTCTAAACTATCGTGTTACATGGCTTTCGTTTGAGCTATCTATGATAATACTAAGTATTTTAATAACTGTTATGACACCTCAGTTGAAAATTATTGTTATATCAAAATTGAAACGAAATACAGTGATACCTATAGCTGCTATTGTAGAAAATTCAGTTCAAATAAGAACAGCTGGTACTCTTCAATAACTTCAAGTATTTTCTGACTTTTTTTTCTTGAAATAATGATGATTGTATTGAACAAGTAGTATTTATCTATTTTATTATAGTTTTCAACTGATTTGATACAAAATAAAATAAGAATATTTACTATAATTCATCTCTACTAATGAATTGTAAGATAATTCATACCAGCAATTCTCTAAATAGTTTTTATTATTTTTTATAACGATAAACAAAGTTTCAAAGAATTTTCAAAAAAACGCAAGAACTTTGTTACCAATCTAATATTACAGATTTTTCAGTACATTAATGATGTGAGATTCTTAATATTACTTTCCTGTTTCTACGTTAGAGTTACTTCTCGTTTAATTATCTGTCAATGCCGATATGATAGTATTTTAATACATTAAAAATATTAATTTAATGTCTGTTATTCTCAAATAACAGACATAAAACTACAAGTTGACTAACAATATTGGATATATATGTATATATATTTTTAATTAAACTTTTCATGAGTTGATGTCTTGAAAAATCATTCTTGGATAAAAATATATGTTTATCTTTAATGTCTGTCTTTAAAATCGTTTTATTTATTTAGAATAACTTCCAACAATTTTCCAGACTATTTTATATATTCGTAAATAACTTTCAAGTCTTCATGCCACTTTCATGCTAGTCTATGTGACAGACAAATGAAAATAATTACAACAGAGATGAACGTTAGTTTTTACTTTTTTTCGCTTTATTAACAGTGAAGATTAGACTCAACATTTCTTTTATCAAAGATTTTTGAAGTGATATTTCACATTTAAATCTTCATTTATATTCTAATTCATCTTATACAACTCATATTCTAATTAGAAAACATGCATTTTACACCACCAGAATTAATTAAGTAAAAAGAAAAGACTACATTGGTATGGGCGTAAAAGCAGTACTTCTATCTGAAATGACTAATAGAATACTTGATGACGTAGAGAAAGATGTCATGAACACTACTATATTAATCCAAAGAAAAAATGAGATCCTGATTCGTATCTATTAGACAAAAAAAAATTACTTACATTGGTAATATGTCGTCTACTAGCAATGAGATTAATCAATTGAACGAAGCAGCATCAGTAGCTGTTCTAGTTTTATCATTCATAAGTTTTGTACCTGGTGGAATCGGTCTGATGTTTAACTTTCTTATTTTCACTCGTCCATCTCTACGTCGTGAACCATGTGCATTGTATTTTCTCTCATCAACATGTTTCAGTTTTTTCGTTGTATTCATAATATTACCTGTGCGCATCTTTGCAGTGATCTTTAATATGGATATGGCTAATTACAATCGTGGAATTTGTAAAATAGAATATTTTGCTCTATATGCAACACGTGCAACAGCTTCATGGTTAATTGTAATGGCATGTATCGATCGCTTCATCCATAGTTCATCAGATGTAAATATTCGTCGATTGAGTTCATTAAAGACAACTAGAATAGCTATAGGACTAACCAGTATTACAATGATCATTCTACATATTCATATGATTAGTTATTATGAAATAACTTATGTATCTGATCGATTTGGTAATATTTCACCTTCATGCAATAGTCAAACTGGTACTTATCGTACATTTCTGGGATTTTGGAATATGGCTGTGTACTCGTTTTGTCCATCTTTCTTTATGTTTCTCTTTGGTTTTCTTACACTTAATCATATTCGTCTGCATCATCGTGTGATTCCAGCGAATGGTGAAACACATAGAATTGCTCGACGAACAGATATCCAACTCTTACGCATGTTAACTGCTCAAGTGTTAGTAATTATCATCTCTACTTTACCATTTTCTATCAATCAACTCTACTCATCGTTTACTAGCAGTATTCCAAAGAGTACTCTTCGAATTGCTCAAGAAAATTTAGCAGCTCGTATTGTAGGTACAACGACGTATTTTGCTCATTCAAGCAGCTTCTATTTATATACACTAACAGGTTCAGTTTTTCGTAAAGAACTTTCCAACATTCTTAGACGATGTTGGCAGGCTGATCGAAATATGTTCCCGAGGATTCAGAATGAAATACATCCAATGTCACTTTTACAAAAAAGTCAACAAATCACTGGTGTACGCATTACTTCTCAACAGCCCAAACCAAATAGCAAAATCATTCGAAAAATCGATATTTAATAGAAATAAAATCTCAACTCTGTGAAAATAAATGACACGTCTTTTTTTTATTTTTATTACTCATAAATAGATCAGCTAATAGTATTCTCATATTTTTCAAATTATTTATTCAGCATGTAGTTCATTAAAACCATGGAGAAAATATATAAAAAGAAAACTGATGGATTCGTGAAGAACAATACCTTATGTGAAAAAATAAAATCAAAATTATGATTAAGATTAGCATCTTACAATAATGTTTCTTATAAAAATTTACCTAGCACTTTTTTCTCTTTTTACCAGAATATTTATCAATTGAATATCTTGAGGGTAGATGTGGATCTCAAGAGTAAAAACAATCATATTCACACCCATAATAAGTGATAATTTTTATTTTTTTAAAATAAATAAGAACATTAAAATGTATTGTAGTTTATAGAATGAAAACAAGTGATTCGATCGTAAATATTCTATTCATGCCAATCGAGCACTTCTTTGCCAATTAGTAGTTACATGTAATATTTGGGTCAATACGAACGATTCGATTCGATAGAGTATCCGAAACATACATTACATAATTATCTGTAATCAACATATCGAAAAACGCAGCATTTAGGAAGCTAAAATTTCCGATCATAGATCCATTATTGTCGAAGATCAAAATACCAGCTGATCCTAGTGAGAACCAACGGCGATCGCATTCATCGATTGTTATATGAGCACCGGCACTGGATGGTGCTATCAGCTGGGCGTTGATTATCAGCGTCTCTGTCCATGACATGCTATCACTACTATTCGCGCTAAATAAAGAGACAGTGCTACTTGGCCATGAGGTGACATAGAAGGCTGTATCATTGATAGGCCACATACCATGCGGACTTTGATAATTCGTTGTTTGCTCATGAAAAAATGAATAATCTGATGAAATAATATTCGACTGATTGAAAAAAATGAGTTTGCTATCATCAGTAGAAGCAACTATCATTATGCGACCATTGTTGAGAAGCATGATGTCGCGCGGGTTGTTTATATACGATGATGTAATATTCAACATTGTTGTCAGATTATTACTATCAATCATTAGAATAGTTCTTGGATATACTCCCACATAATAGGCCTCATTATAGTAGACCATGTTCAGCAATGATAGTCCATTTCCTATTAACGTGCTATCAATGAGTGTGAGATACGTTGGGTGATAACGATAGAGATATTGCCCACCTGATTGAGTTGTCACAAGAAAACCATGATTATCGAATGCAAGACAATGAGGCGATACGTTGACTGATATTGATACAGCGTTCCGAAGTTTACTTAGCAAGAGATTAAGATCGGGCATACAACAGCTACTGGCATTTGGTAATATCTGTTGCGGAAAATATAATCGACCTTGTGCAGTTGCTTGGATACGGTAGGTTTGTGGTGCAGTATCAAAGAATTGACATGTATTGTTAGGAAAACAATTTAGTACTTGATAGGATGATTCAGCTGTACAAAGACATTCGTTACATGTCTGGTTGTTTACTATAATATTGTTCGAACTGGATATCGGGACAAGTGTGACATTATCAATGAATGGAATGAGAACTGAGCAGCTTACTGGAATTTGATACATCAAAAGAACAGAAACTACCAGAATAAACATGCCAAAAACTAGGTCGGTGAAGATAGGAAATCAATTGAAATGGAACACCTTTTATTTATCGATAGTAATCGAAGAAATAAAAAGAAAAGAATTAGAAAGAACTATTTTATGAATGTATTTGTTCTCGGAAACCATTGTGCTTGTGTGTGTTTTAAGATATAAATGTAAATTAAAATGTTTGCTTTTGCTCTCGTGTGTGTATTTGCCTATTGATTCTTCGATCGGCAATTCCTGCCTTTGTTGTTCTATTCTGATCGATTCACAATGACGTTCGGAACGCCCAGTATTTGAATAAGAGAAAAAAGGAAGCGTTAATTGATTCTTCCCATGACTACTAGCAACACATTGTTTTTCCATTGACGTTGAATGCCAAAGACTCATGAGTAACATCAAGTAGTTCTAATAATGAATTTGAGAGCTTTGTTAATTAAATTCTAAATATCAATTTTACTTCTAAAATACTATGTTCAATTTTCGTTGTTGAGGGTGAGCGTGGGTGTGGATCTATCTTTTGTTAACTAGCACCTACACTCCTTCCAAACGATATCTTAATGAATGATATAATATGTTATATATGAGATCTTAAATTTACTATTTCATATACATATATATATATATAAGTACGACACCTGTAGATCAGAGAAGTTAGATAATTTACCAATCGTGTTTTATCATATAAAATTTCTTCTTCTATATATTTATCAATTATATTGTATATTTCGATTGATTAAATTCCTTGTCATGTATAATACCATAGCAAGATATGTGCTTTCTATAGTTAATTTATATTTGCATTAGATATGCATTTTACTATTGTGTTGAATGTGTACGACAGTATCATATTAGACAATGAATATTATTTTTATGTACTATATAATACGGTTAATTGTGAACAAAAATCATCGATAAAGATCAATATATGCTGGTAATGCCATTTTTAAACTTGAATCAAATAATCAAAATAAAATAATGACTGTACGTAGTACACCATTTGAAGCAGCAAAACAAGGTGATGAAAATACAGATATACAAGTTATGTCGATTCTGGTTATTGTGCAAATGATTTACAAATTGGTCAAACAAGCCAAATTGTTGCACCAGAACTTTATATAGCTATTGGTATATCAGGTGCTATTCAACATATTGCTGGTATGAAAGATAGTAAAGTTATTGTTGCAATTAATAAAGATGGTGATGCACCAATACTTTCGATGGCTGATTATGGACTTACTGAAAAACTTAAGAAAATTAAACATTTTATATTACTTTTCAATAAATACATTCCACTCTTTCATCGTTATAGATGGAAGTAGATATGAAATTAACTATTAATATAAATTCTTTATTAGAATCTTATCCATCATTGCAACATGTTCCTGATAAAGATCGTGTAAAATAAATGTCTGAATATAAATAAATGAAATTTTTTACTTTTCTTTTCGTAGATCAGATGTAATTGGACACAACACGAGATGGCAGCTCGTGTTGATGCTATCGAAAGATATATCAATGGAAAGAAATATCAACAATTATTAAAGAAAAAATTAGATACTGATTATTTAAATAAATTCAAGGAATTTCTTGAACCAAGTACAAAGAGAAATCATGAGTATGTTTTATGTTTATTATATTGAAATTATTTTAAAAACTAATATTTGAATAGAACACAATTCTTTTGTAAATTAACATGGCGTTATTTAAATAAAGAACCACATCATATTATGAGACATTTAGAAGGAAAACGATTTAAACGTGCTTATATTCTTTGTAAGTATTTTAGTTTATTATTTATTTTGAAATAAATTAGTTATTCAGGGCAAAAATATCAAGAAAATGGTACAGAATATATTCCAATAGGTAGACGAAAAAAGAAACCACAAACATTACACGATAATGATGATGATCAATATATAGATATGAGTGATGATGATGACGATTTATCAGATTTATATCCTGGTTAGTTTTATTATATTTAATAAGCATATATAATGTAGAAGTTTTTAGACTTTCATTCTAAACATGCTGGTAATCCAGAAGTCGAACAAAATACTATTGGTGGTATAAAACGAAAAGCACAAATATCACAAGTTAGTAGTAAATAATGAATCGATATTCTATATTTATCTGTATTATTTTTAGAGTAAAAAAAAGGCAAAAAAATTAGCTGCATCAAATTCAAAACGTATGCGACTATTTGATGAATCAATAAATGATAATAATGCAATTAAATCGACAGAAATAACGACATTAATCATATAAGTTTTTTTTTTTTTTCGTTTTTGTTACAGTTTGAATGTTATGCTAGTACTGTTTTATTCAAATTAATGTCAGATTTGATCGATTTCGTTTTTGTTATAATATATATTGTTTATTTAGTTACAGTTTTGTTTTCAAAAAAATAAAAAAAATCGCTACATTATCTAATCTATTATTAATAAACATGGTTTGTTCATTGCAATCAATGTAATTTAATTTTTGATGTTTTCTTTTTATTTTATTAAAACATGTACAATATATTTATACATATTAAATACAAGACAATATAAATGTTTTACTTTCATGAATAGAGATCATTACAAGCGACATTAAATTGCACATAAAAAGATTAAAAATTTAGAATTTTTTACGTTTATATTATCACCATATTAATGGAAACATAAAAAAGGGCCACCACATAAGACTACCAATAGCCATACCAGTTAATGCATCTGCTGCTATATTACTACCTGTACCATAACGTGAACCTCGATCAACAAAAATAACTGTATGTGTTGTTCCATCAGGTGCACGATAAATTTGATGAGGATGATTACCTTCATAAATACCTGGATAATAAGCAAAATCATATCGACCAGGTGGTAATTGTATATTAGTAAAACGAGCTTGTTGTTGTTGCATACGTTCAATATGTAATTGACGAACATCATCAAATGATGTTTGCCATGCTAATAAATCATCCGTTGATTCTGCACATAATGTCCATGGATCACCTTCACTTGGAACAAGTTGCATCATTTGTGCACGTGTTGCACCATCAGGTGGTTCAATAGTATATGGGACTTGTTCAGAACCAATACGTAATTCTCGACAACGACTTAATTGAAAAACATCATCAGCTTTATCATATTGTTTATCAGGACTCGACATATGACGAAGACGAGCATCGTTTGTTAATATAAACCATTCACGTTTCCAATTTTTTAACACAGTTGTACGACGTACTAACCAACCAGCTTTAACAATATCTGCCATGATTTGAATACAAGATAATAGCTATATTTTGTTTTAATGAATAACTTGTGAATATATAATTCAGCTTGGTAGGATGATTCTCGAAATATTACGAAGAAAAAATATGTTGGAATAGTATTGGTTTATCATGGAACCAATCACAAAATCAACAGATTTCGCTTCAAGCTCAAAACAAATATATTCTACATAAAGATTATTTTTTTCAAAATATTTCATTTATTATATATGTATATATCTATATTAATCTCATTTAAATCATTTAATTTCTTAAAACTTCAATGGCAATTATAATAACGAATCGTTTTCTAATAATATTCAGTAACAACAATATAGTACACATAATACAGAAAAGAAATTAATATTTTGTTTCTTAAAATTGATAAAATATTATCTTAGGAATAAAATAATTTTATGTAGATTTTCTTTCTAAATATTATTTTTCATATTATTAGATAAGACAAATAACATGGGTCTTAATTTCAGTGGTAGTATCGATCGTGCTCAACATCCTGAGCAATATCCAGAAAAGGCTAAAGGACCTACATTCGATCCGGTATGAACTAAATCATTGATTATTTCAATCTATAAACATTCTTATATTTTATTTTTAAGCTATATGGTTTTTCTGATGGTCGAAAACCGAAAGGTAAAATAAAAGAATTCTTTTATTGTGATAGTAAAATAATAATTATAATATTTTAGTTGCACCTTATACTCAAGAAGAAATGCAAACATTAAATATTCCTCTTGATAAACGAGATTATTGTGCTCATTATTTTCGAGCTATTATGTTATGTACACAACAATATTGGCCATCACAATATGGCTATTGTGAACCTGAACGACATGCATGGGAACAATGTCAAATACAAAAGTATAAAATCTTACTTTTAATAATTTATGATGTTTTGTTTTTTTTCTTCTTCTAGTAAACTTGATGACGCAAAAGAATATGAACGAGAATTACGTTTACGCCGTCGACGATTACGTAAAGAAGAAAAAACTAATCGTGATCTATTACATAAAGAACATACGGATAACAATGAAGAATAGACAATTAATTAGTTTCATTTAAAATACATGATCCTTAGTCTTTAGACTTTCTTTCTTTCTTCTTTTTTATAATCTATTTCCTCCTCTATCATATTCATTTTTGTAGAAATAAACGATGTGTTTATGATACTATTTTCAAGATCTCTTATTTATATTGGTTTTCTTGTTTTAGCTCTCAAGAAATTATGGATAAAAATTTTGAAACATTAGTTGAAACTACGTATGTATTCAATTATTTTCATAGACAAAGATTTGTAGAATATTATTATTTAGAATGAAAAAATTTTCAATGGTTGGTGTTGACGCGAAAGGTGTCCTCGTCTGTGATAGAAATGGTTTAGCATTAACTAGTTAATAAATAGATATATATATTTTCCTTACCATAAATAATAATACGATATTTCTTTATTAAGGTAATAATGTTTCGAATTCTCCTGGACCAGTAGCACGTCTTGCCGAATTAGCAACTTCTCTATCAGGTCGACGAGCGACTGTCTGTCTTGAACATAATGAAAAGTATGAAAATTTCTATTAATAATATTTATTCTATTGTTTTAATATAGTCAAGTTTTGATCCATCAAACCGAGAAAACAATTGTTGCTGTATATACAGAAAATGCTACATGAATTATTTGTTAAAATCTATGTTACAATGAATCGAGTTTCTTTTCTTTTTCTTTTTTCTACACGATAGTTGATAATAATAAATATTTTTTTAATATGGTAATCAAATCAATGATTAACTCTTCTTTTTTTTTTATAACAAATATAAATCGATATAATAATAATAATAAAAGTCTATTTTAACGACGAGTTGCTTCTGTATAAATAGAAAAAACGGTTTTGCCAGCTTCACGAATAATTATTTTTCTAGAAAAAAAAAACATTTTTTAAATAACTTCATTCTATCCTATGAATTTAATTCTAAAGACGACATATTTTTCTTACTGATCTCCATTTTCTAAACAAACATTTGCTTGTCGTTCCAAAAAAGTTGATGCAAGATCAGAAAGTAATGCAATATTTCCACTACAATCATTCTTTACATCTTCATCTGAATTATACAGAAATTAAATCTATTATGAATTATCTCTTATTTTAAACTTACTTGCAATTATCAATCCATTTTTATCCGTTATAAGAACACCATTAATATTCATATTTGCATATTTAAAATCACTAGTTCTAAATAAAAAAGAAATTAAATTAATGAATTATTTTTTTATAAATTTGTCTTACACTTTATGTATGAAACTATCAATAGCTTCAACCATATTGTTATCATGCATCTACAAGTTTAATAATAATAAAAAGTAAGTTACTTCGTCTTTTATAGTACATGATAATATGCATCATATTTTTCATATTCTATTCTTTAATATTCTATCGTAATATGCAAAAAAAACAAAACAATATTATATAATCGGACATCTCGAATAATAATTTAAAATATACAGAAGATATAAAAAAATAACACAAAACTACATAAAAATTATTTGATTTTTCGACGTTTTCGAACTGATAAATTTTCTTTATCATTATCTTCATTATCTGATATTGTCATATGATAATCATCATCATCTTCTCGAGCACCACTTAATCCCGGTTTTATTTTATTAATATCAATTTGTTTAAATGGTGTACGATGTTGTTTTTCTAAAGATTTTGTTAATAATGTTTTTGTTTTTGTATTAAGTTGATTCATTTTTTCATAATTCGATATTGTTAATATCATTTGTAAATCATCCGGATTTAAATAATAATTCTTCATAAGTTCAATACAAGTTTTAAATTTTGATTTTTGTAAATAAGAATTAAATAAACAATTAAATATCGGAAGATAATCAAGATTAAATTCATTTCGATCGATTGTCATACTTTTTAAAGAACAATGTGTTTCAAGTTCAATTATACGACGATCAGTCGTTTTTTGTTGTTGCATAAAATTAAACCAAGCAGGAAATTGAACGTTATTTAATGAACCATGAAGTAATGTTGTTGGAATTACACCAGAAAACATTGCCTGATATCCTATCAATGATCGATTTCCATTGATAAAATTCAGTTTTGAACATATATCCCCAATTGTTAAACTATCTGCTACTTTCGAAATTAATTCTAAACGTTGTCGTTGGGTAGTTATCGATGGAACAACACGAATATAATTATCCTGTATTAATAATGGTACTAATGAAGAATCATGAAAATAAAGATTTGTTTTATCGATTAAGCTTAAATTCGATAGAGAAAACATTTTCATACAAGCATCAAATGGACTTGTTGATAGAGCTTTTTCTAAATTTGATACATTTGTTATTAATAATGATGATTGTTTATAATATAAATTAAGTGTATGAATAATTTTTCTAATATCACGATTACAAGCATTTATTAAATTATCAAGTGATGCATGTGTAATATGAATATGTTCACGTGAACATAAATCAAGTATAAATGATTTAACATTTAAAAATGATGGTCGATCAAATTTGATTTCATAACAATGTGATATTAATGTACGCATTTTATCTGCTTGTCGATCATTAGCAATTAATATTAATGGTATACGTGTTGTTCGAATAAGTTGAATTAATGTTTGGATACCACCACGATCTTCATTTCCGGTTACACCATCAACTTCATCCATAATTAAGACATGTTTATTGATTATTTGATTGTCGTCAGTAAGATAAGCGGAATTAAGTTCGATTTTTTCCATCATTGTTTGTGATCGATTATTTGATGCATTAAGTTCAATATATGGCATATTCAATGCTTTACAAACAAGTTGAGCGGTTGTTGTTTTACCTTTTAATTAGAAATGAAATAGCTTTTTGATTATGAAAAGATGTGTTGATTACCAACTCCTGGTGGACCAGTAAGTAAAACAGCTTTAAATTTTGATGGATCAGTTGATGCAATAGTTTCAGATTTTGTAGCTGTTCTCTTTCGTTTACCAGTTGTTGGTTTAGTATGCCATGTATGCCAATTTGTTAGAAAATAGATGAGTTTTTTCATCGATGATTTATCACTTTGTTGTCCAACAATTTGACCTAAAGATGTAGGTTTATATTTATCAACCCCTTGAAATACAATAAATATTTAGAAAAAAAAAAATATTTTATTAAATAATTAACTTACATAAAATACCATCATCTTGTCTATATACATTTAATTTTGATGATGAAATCGATACAAATGAAGTCTTATCAATAGTTGTTTTTTGTGATTGAATTACTGTTGTTGATTTCGTATCTTTATTTCCTGGTCGTGTTCGAATCATATAAAGTAAATCATCTTCTGAGATAATTTTAATACGAAGTTTTTCAGCTTTATCAATTTTAGTTTTTCCAGAATCACGTCCAGTAATAAGATAATCAGTTTTACCACTAACTGCAGTTGTAACTCGACCACCATAACTTTCAATAATTCTTTTACATTCATCTCGTTCCAATGATGGTAAAACACCTGTAATAACAAAAGTTAATAATTTCAAACATCCTTCAGCACCTTGAGGAATATCTTTTGAACCAGGTGCATCTGGTCCACCTCGATTAAGAAAACTTTTGTAAGCAAGAGCTTTTCGCTGTCGTTCAGCTGGATCAAGTTGTTTAACAGTTGGTGTTGCTGTCATTGTAGCAGACTCAATAATAACATCATCATCGATAAATCTAGTCTTCTTTGAACTTGACGATGATTCATCATTTTCTAATGTACGCTATAAGAAATAGATATGAAGAAAAAAAACATTTCATATTTATTAAAATTATAATCATACTTTTTTACGTTTTGGTGGCATCGTTAATATCGATATAAAATAAAATTAAAAACAGGATGACTGATCAGTTCAGAAAATGTGTGTTACTGCTATTGAATCGAAATTATTTTCTCTCTTATTCGATAGACTAGACGACGAACAGAACGTGAAAATAAAGAGGACGAAAAAAACATAGCAGTTGTTCATTATAATCGAGGGTTTATTATACGATAAAGAAATTGTCATCAGTTAATGGATTTATCGACAGTAGCAACATTTTCTAATGATCTTTTAATCTATTCATCAGGATCAATACCTATCAATGCTAAAGAACTTAATTTAAAACAAACTTTACTTGGTGGACAATCATTTCGGTAGGTAGTTATTTATTATCTCGATATTCTAAAATAACTTTAATAGATGGATTGAACAAAATCTAAATGAATTTATTGGTGTACTTGGTTCATACATCGTTCGTTTACAACATCAAAATGATAATCTTCGTTATACATTTTTTACAAATAATGAAGATTTAATAAAATATTCGAATAATAATGATCGTCGCGTTGAAACAGCACTTATTTTACATAATTATTTTCAATTAACAATAAAACTTAGTGAATTATTTGAAAAATGGTGTAAATCTGATGTTAGATTTGAAAAAGGTCAAATACCAATTGGTATTCGTGTTTTAGCACAAGAACCATTAGAAAATTTAATATCGTTTATATGTTCAAGTAATAATAATGTTCAACGTATAACAAAAATGATTCAAGCACTTTGTAATGAATATGGAAAAAAAATCGGGACATTAAATGGAATTGATCATTATCAATTTCCAACTCTAGGTATTTAAAATATTTATTTTGCAAATGTCATTCTACGATTATATAGATGAACTCGATAAAACTGATCTTGAAAAACGTTTACGTGAATTAAGTTTTGGTTATCGTGCACGATATATACAAGAAGCAGTTAAATTTATGAAATATACCGTTAATGGTATGTGTTTTTTTGATCAATTAAAAATATTATCAGTTGAACAAGCACGTAGTCAATTATTAAAAATTATGGGTGTTGGTCGAAAAGTAAGTTGATATAGTACTAAATTTAGTTATTAAAAATATTATTTAGGTTGCTGATTGTATTCTTTTAATGTCACTTGGTAAACATGATGTAGTACCAGTTGATACGCATATTCATTCAATTGCTATGACATATTATGGACAACAATTAACTACAGCTAATTATGATGATATATCATCATTTTTTGAACAATTATGGCAACCATTATCTGGATGGGCTCAAGCTGTAAGAATCAGTTTATCTTTTTGCAATAACTATTTGTTTTTTTTCAAGGCTGCATTTTCTAATGAACTTCGTTTACCAACTAGTCCAAGAAATAGTATTGTATTATCATTAAAACGTTCGATTAGTAGTACTGAAATTATAACAGAAAAATTATTTAAAACACTTGATGAAAATAATGAATGTCAATCAATAAAAATAACTCGAAAACGTAGTGAAACACGTCAAAAAAAACTTTTATCAATTCAACAATTATCAACTCGACCTAAACGAAATATTAAACCGATTGAACGATATTAATCGATTTTGTATTAATTTCAATAAATTATTTCTATAAAAAGATATACGTTTTTTTTCTCTTGTATAATATGATGATGAGGGAAGAGTTTGAATTTCTATACTACTATTATTTCAAGTAAATAAGACTATCATATTCATATAAGATAGAATAGAATTACCTGAAAGACAAGATGAAAAATATTCTTCTTTTCTTTCTTCAAAATAGAAAAGAACATAGATTATGAGATGATTCAAATTACAGACAAGATCTATGCCTCTATATATAAGAATGATCTTTAAGTTCTTTTTTTATCTTTAAATAGAAAAGTAGGTCTTTTGGTTTATTCTGGTTATCTTTCTCATAAATTTATATGACATATTGATTTATACTTCAAAGATAAAAAAAAAAGTTTCCATATGTTACAATTTTTTTCATCAACTAGAAAAAAAAACACATAAGTAAACTAAGCTAATTTATTTAATACACAAAAAATTTCACCATCTATATCGATGTATCCATAAAGATAACTATTCTTGCAAACATCAATTTCTATTATATATGTTTAAAATCATTTTAATTTTTATATAAGAAAATAAAAAGAAATTGAATTTTGTATGAATATAATTATTAATGTCTACTAACGCACTCTATCATGATCTTTTAGATCATTGGTGTAGAATAGAACTAGTTGTCAATTATTAATTATTGTTTATTATTTATTTGGCATCGAATGCACAACCGGTCGGGAGCGTGTAGGACGACACATATTCGATCGGAATATTCATAGAATAAGAAGAAGAAGCAAAACTAAATAAATAAATCAAATTTCGTGTAATTGTACGCATCATTAAACGTTATCAATGTATATATTTATATTTATTTATTTATAGATGTAACTCCAAATTGAATGTGTATTTTTATATGTATATATATATATGTGAATTATTAAATTAAAGTAATTTAAAAACAAAATTATGACAAGTCGAATAAAGATACCATTTAAATTTGGTGAAAAGAAGATCAATGAATTAGAAGTTAATGAAACATCGAAAAAAGACGATTTTTCATTAAGTGAAGTAAGAAAATAGGTTAAATATTTTTCAGAAAAGAACACTTTTTTTTCTCCAAACTATATATTAGATTGTACGCTATGGTTTTCCATATCGACCAACAACACTTGCTTATGATCCTGTACAAAAAATTCTTGCTATTGGCACAAAAAATGGTATTATTAAAATGTAAGTTTTCATTTAATTTAAAACAAAGAAAAACCATTAAATTAATTAATATTTTAATTGAAATAGTTATGGTGGCGCATTCGTTGAATGTTCATTAGTACATCCAACTGAAGTTGAAATTGTTCAACTTGTATTTCGTATAAATGAGGTAAGCTTTTTGACAAAAGAACAATAAAAACAATCATATTTGCCTATAGGGTGCATTGATAAGTGCATGTCGAGATAATTATATTCATTTATGGAGTTTACGTCAAAAGAAACCAGTTATTGCTCATTCACTTCGATTTGTTAAAGAAAAGTAAGATGTTTATTTTTATCTTTATATTTTGTTCCAAACAGGATGACCTTATACATATTAATGCTATATAATCTGTATCTGTTTGCCTAGATGTTGATGATCATTTAAATTAGCTCTTTTTCGTTCTCATCTCTCATGAGATATTGAACCCTCTTAACGTTTTATCATTTATTCATGCTTCCGGTCGTCTAATAGGAAATTGCTTTTTTTTTGTTCCTTTTAGTTTTTTTTTTGAATACAGTGATTTATATAATAATCAAGAGAAATATCTCTTGTCTATTTTTGATAATGATCTATAAATCTAAAACAAAAACAAAATTAATAAATTAATAATGATATTTATTGGAAGCAAAAAAAAAAGATTTTTTTTTGTGTTCAGAAATATGAGATAGAACGAAAGAACGACGACGACGTCATTATCCCTATGGAATAAAACATTGACTAGTTTTTAATCAAATAGATTCTATGACATATACAAAAGATGTGTTAAGAAACATAACAATATAATGTTTATTGATTATTTAGAATAAGCCGATGTTTTCTTCCTCTTGCATTTAATTCCAAATGGCTTTTAGTTGGCACAATTAATGGAAATGTTTATGTTGTCAATCTTGACACATTTACACTTTCATCATATAAAATCATGTGGAATAATGCAATTGGCATGTATGTATTTTTTATTTAAATTTAGAAACAAAAAAAATAAACAATTTCATTTTTGTCTTTCAAGGAGTAAAAGTACTCATCCAGGTGTAGTTGTTGATTTAAGTCAAAATCCTGATGATCCAACACGAGTAAGCAAAATTTATTTTATACATGAGTGATTTTGACACGATTAAGATGTTAGATATATATATGATTGATTGAGATAAGTTTTTATTGTATTATACTTGTCGGAATGTTTTATATTCACATCAATTTTCGATATTATATCTCATAGAATTGTTGATTGATGAGTTTCATATTACACAAAGTCGTCATTTATAAACGAAATTTTCTAATTATTAAAAAAATCTTTTTTAAATGACTTTTACTTTCTTTAGAAAGAAAAAATTAGATTTTTTCCCTTACTTTATAAGAGGACTTTTTTTGCAAATTTTATCTTTAATAACTGTTGAACAACACATCCGTTTCCGCTCACTTTTTTTTACCGTAGATATCGTTTTCATAGTTACACAATCAGTAAAAAAAAACGTAGGCGTTTATCACTTATTTTCCCATTGACACAATTTACACTCAACGATAAAATATTACGAAAATTATTTGACTTTTATTCGATTAAAAAAAAATATTTTCACATATACAATTTATAACCAGTTATTTCATAAAAAGAATGTTAGTTATATTAGTATAATAAAAGATAGAATGTGTAAAATCACGCATATGTTATTAATATAAAAATCTAATTTATTGACGAAATTGAACTAAACTATCATTATAGATAAGATTCAATTATTCTTATTATAAATTTTAGCTTTATATTGGCTTCAGTACACATTTATCTTCACCTAATACTGCTCCTATTGGACATGTTATATGTTGGAATTTACAACAAAAAACATCTGAAAGTGTTTATACATTACAACATGTAAATATAATTGATATAAATGAAAAGAAGCAAAAAAATATTTATTTCCTAGGGTTTAACATCTGTATCGTGGCATCATGAAGGAAGACAATTTATGTGTTCACATTGCGATGGTTCACTATCCGTTTGGAATTTACGAGCTACTGAGAAGCCTGTTAGCATTAATTATCCACATGGTAAACACAATTCATCTTTATTTAGTAAAAGAAATGAATCTTTATTTTTTTTATAGCACGTATATCAAAAGATGAACAACATAAATTTGGTTCAGTTTCAAAAGTGGTTTGGACTTCTGTTAAAAATTCGTATGTATTTAAAAATAATAATACAAAATTAAATTTTAACATCTATATATATAGAAATGATCCATTTATTATTTTTTCTGGTGGAATGCCAGCTCAAACTGAATCTCAACAAAGCCCATCAACTAATGCTGCAACTGGTACAACACCGTCCAAACCATCATCTTATTTTTTAACAATTCTTCGTGGTCCAACAACAAATGTACTTCATATGGATAATGCTATTGTTGATTTTACTGTTATAACATCATCTCCGCATATTGCTGGTTAGTCCAATACTCCCGAAAAAAAAATTTATCAATTCATTTTATTTTAGATATACCTGATCCAACGGCAGTTGTTGTTTTACTTGAGAATGACCTTGTCGTAATTGATTTAAAAAGTGACAAGTAAAAAAATTTAATTTAAAAAGTAACAATATGAATAATTATCTTTTCTAGTTATCCACTTTTTGAAAGTCTTCATACAGTGGATCTTCACGAATCACCTGTAACATTTTGTGATTATATAACAGAACCCAATACAACTTTTTATCAAAATCTTCTTCGATTACAATCGAAACAAACACCAAAACGTACTTATAGTCAACAGGTTTGTTTCAATAATGATCCTAAATAAAATCTAGCAACTATCTAAGACTTGTTCAAGCTAAATTAAATGATGTTTTGATTAGATTTGCAGTTCTCAGTTCCGCATGATTTTTCATATTATAAGAGACATTTAAGAATATAAGAAAATCAATAGACTGTATCAAACATTCTTATGCACCATGAATGACAACTGTTAATGAATATTGAAGTTTTAATACGATTCTTTCAACCTGAACATGTATCTAAATATATCGTAATTTATTTTTTTTCCTAGGAAAATCCAGTATCAGGTGGTAAAGCTGGTTCAACTATTTTTGGATACAATGAAGTCATTATGACTGGGTAAATCATATTCCGAATAAATTCAATTTCATAATCATTTTTCTCTCAACAGACATGCTGATGGTTCAGTTAAATTTTGGGATGCATCTGGTTGTAATCTTTTATTTTTATATAAATTACGTACAAATCGTTTATTTGATCGTATTCAACCAGCAAATCCATCATCATCATCAACTACAAAAGATGTCAATCCAACGTTTAAATTAGATTCACGATCATCACGTGCAAATAGTAATGCAGTTGATGAACAAAGTCAATTTCAACAACAATTTAATTCTTTAACTATATCAAATGATATCAATGGTTATGATAATCCATTTGCAATTTATTCAGTAAAAATGTGTTGTGATGGAAAATATTTAATAGTTGCTGCACGTGGTGGTCATATAACATTATTTAAATTTACGGGTTCAGAATTAGAAAAAGCTGATGAAGGTTTAGGAGATTTAACATGTATAGAAATTCCGATATTACATCGGAATTTATCAGGTGATCGTGATGATACAAATATAAGTGGAAATATATCAACATTAAATGATTCACAATCAAGACAAAGTACAGAGAAAAGAGTAAGTTTTTCAAAAAAATTACAAATAAATATATATTGTTGTCTTATAGGAATTTAAAAGTTTATTTCGCGCTAAAATGGGTTATCGTCGAATGGCTGGTTATCAACCAGAACTTGTTTGTTTATTATCATGGTTACCAAATGATAGAATTCCTATGTTAACTGATATTTCAATTAATTCTAAATATGGATTGTATGAAACAACTAAACAGAATATCTTAAATTTAAATTTCTTTTTCTTTAGATTAATATTTGGATTAGAGAATGGTCTTGTTGTCGTTGATTATTTAAGTCAATCGATTCTAATGAATATGGCAACAAGTGATCTTTACGGTACAATGGATCCATTTCAGCGAACAACAGTATCTCCAAAACGTCGTGGTACTGCCAATGATTGTAATAATGATGATCCATCATCAGGAGATTATCAAGTAAATATAATTTCTATGAAATATTTTCTTTAGAGATTTTTTCTAAAATAAAAAGAAAACAAAACGAAAAAAAAAAAAACAAAAATTTCTATCTAGCAACAACCTTTATCACCTTCGTCTCATGCAAATGAAGCAGAATCATCATCATCATCATCAAATGTTTTTTCATTTGGAAATTTCTCATTTAAAAAAAGTTCGAAACCATCTAATCCAACAACACCTCGAAATATACCGAATGAAAATGAATCCATACAAATATTTCGTTCACGATCCATTGATTCATTAACTGAAAGTAATCAAAATATAAATTCATGTTCAACAGGAGGTGGCGGTGAACATCAAGCTTCATCACATGAAGATAAACCACAAGCAACATTAGCAAAACGATTTCGTACACTTCGTAAACGTTTATCACGTACATCAAATTCAAATAAACATGATCATACAGTTACACATTGTAAAATACATCCAAATGAAAAAGATAATAATAATATTAAAAGTGGTGGTGATAGTAGTGAAGCAAGTAGTGCAGGTGAAGATTTAAATCGATTATCATTTACAGAAATACCAACATCAGATTCCGAAGCACAATCTGGAGATTATTTAACAGTAGCACCAGCAGTATCATTAAAAGTACATCGTTCTTTACCAGTAGAAAAAACAGCATCAACAATACCAGCAGCAGATGCATATGAAAAAACTGATTCTTATGAAAGAACGAGTGAGAATCGTACTCTATCAAAAACATGGTCATCAACAAATTTTACTGCTGTTCAATTACGTGGTACATGCTCACTTGAATATAGTGAACATATGAAAGATAAATCACATAAACGTAAAGCACATATGATCGATTTACGTAAAGATGATCATCAATCACAATTAACACCAACTTCATTGACACCTCTAAGTAAACATTCAATTTCAACACACTTTCAACAAGCTATTTTAATTACACTTTACTCATACTTTTATTATAAGGGTGTACTGAGCGCGCTTAATCTTCTATTCACATTTGATTAGAAACAGACATATTCTTGTCTGCGCTATTTTAATTTTCTCTGCACGCAATAAGGATTTGATGAAGAAGAATGATTTTAAAATATTAATATTTATCATTCTCTTCATCAATCTTTTTTTTTTGTCTTAGAAACAACAAAAAGTATTGCTCTTAATTGATTAATAATATTTGTTAGAATTTTAAAATAACTAAACAAAATTTCTTCTAATTGCATGTTGATTTCTTTAACTTCACCATATTCTTCTAGCAATCTTCGCCTCCTTCTACTGCTTCGACACTTGCAGAAAAACGATCTCAGGCTTTGTCTGATATCAATTCATCTGTTTGTAAGTTCTTCATGAATTTTGAAGAAATGAAAAATAATAATCAATCATATATATATGTTTGTACTATTGTTGAAAACAAAAGAGATTCTATGTGCATTTGTCAATGTATATTTCTTTATCTGCTTTGTTTAACTACTAATGCATGTTTATTTTATTAATGCTTAAAACATTTATTTTCTATATAATTTGTTTTTGTTTATTCGATTATGTAGATAAACCATCAAATGCTGATCTTCCACGTTCAACAAGTAGTTCAAGTATGGATAATATAGTTTCAAATGAAAGTGTATGTGCTATACAATTTTCGGAATCATTTACTTATAAAAATGGTTTGTATTATTTCGTAAAAAATAGAGTATAAAAAATGATTTTTTTCTATAGATTTTACTATTTCACCAAGTGTGTGGCTTGGAACAAGTACAGGTTGTGTTATTGTTATTAATTTAAATATCATATATGAACCTCGAAATATAAGTGGTGAGATTTAATTCATGATTTGAAAAATAGAATTTATCAATATGCTTTTAGTTGTACCAAGTGGAAGTGTATTTCGTTTATGTGGTCGTTTATTGCATATTTCTTTTTTGGATTATAAAGGAAGTACAATAGCATCACCCAGTGAAAAATGGGATACGAAAAGTAAATTTTCTATTATTATTAATAATAAGCATTAATTATTTTTATATAGAAGCAAAAGCAACTCGTCGAACAGATGGATATACTCAATCTCAAGATTCAAGTTCATCAATAGTAACGTCTTCCACAACTAGTTCATCTTCATCAGTAACAAATACACCAAAAGATATTCAATATGCTGTTTTTTGCTCATCAAAACAAGCTCGCGTTGTTTCATTACCATCACAAACTTGTATATCAAAACAAAAAATTTATGATTCACCTGGTGCATCAGGATCCAATGTTTTACGAGCAGCAGTTGTTAAAATATCAGGTGCTCCTTGTCTAGTATGTTATTTATTACCTGGTCGTATAATTGTCTATAGTTTACCGAGTTTACGTGAATTATTTATTACAAATCTTGATCCAGTTATTGAATCATTCCGGTAAGAAGAAAAAAGAAAACCAACGAATATATATTCAATTCGATTTTCAATTCTAGATCTTTGGTTGCTTCAACATTTTCATTTACTGATCGAGGACATGGACTTTACATGTGTTCACCAACAGAAATTCAAAAAATTACGATTGCTTCAGATGTCAAGTAAATTGAATTTTCAGAACTTTAGTTTTAAATGCATAATATTTCTAGAGAACAAATCAGTGAAATGCTTTGCGAATTGTACAGTCCATCAATAGCAATGCCTGAAGCACCAAAACAAAACTTTTTTGCTAAACTTTTTACTACAAATTCCGTTCTTGATTCTGATCAATTATGTAAGAATTTTGTTAAAAGCATTATTATTATGACTAAAATTTTGTCTTTTGTCTATTTCAGTTGGTGATGCTGCTGGCAAAGCTCCATTAGGCGTTGTTAAAAAAGAAGATGTTAATGTCAATATGAATCAATTGCGTGGTAAAGCTGATTCAGCTGCTGGTGTTATTAATGATACACGAATGGTAAATAGAATTCGAAAAATGAACAATTCGATTTTGTTGTTTTTTATATTCTAGAAATTACTTGAACGAGGTCAAAAATTAGGTGAAGTTGAAATAGCTTCAAAACAAATGACTGATCGTGCTGAAGAATTTGCTAGTCTAACAAACAAATTAATGTTACAACAAAAAGAAAAAGCTGAATGGTGGCCATTTACATCAAAGAAAACATGAACAGTCAATATACATTTCCTTTTTTTTTTCGTCGTCGTATTATCTTAGATTTTCTATATATGTGCAATATTCTTCTTAGAAAAAACCATAATGTGTGCATGTTAAGATGCAAAAAAATCAAACTAACCAGCTTCTTGCTATCTTTTTTTTCTTTTTTAGCAGTACTATTCATATATATATATATTTTCTCTTTACGTTCTAATGATGTTGTTTCTTTATTATTATTATTGTTGTTGTTGTATGCATATTCGATTTATTATTCCGCTTGATACATGCAATAATTCCTTCACAGAATTTATATACACGCACACACGTATAAAACACATTCCTATACTTTATATTTTCTTTATTTCAAATTTGCGAAGAGAACAGTGTGACTTAACTCATAATCATGTGTGTGTGTGTTAACGAAACAAAATAATATATGATAATAGCGATGTTTCCCTTTTTTTTCTATTTTAAGTCATTTTGTTTGCCCGAGTTTGATTTTTTTTCCATAATGATCATGTTCTCATATACAAAGTACTTTTCTTTTCTTTTCTTTTTTTTTGGTATTGCGTTTTTTTTTCTGTTTCTTAACCTTTTATCCTTCCTATTGTATTCTTGTTGGTGTTTGAAAAAAAAAAGATTCTTTTTACTTATGTGCGTGTTTAATAAAAGTGGTATCGTTCATTTTAATAAGAACATTTGAAACACAATACGTCGAAGAAATAATCAAATAGATAATACAATTGTTTTTCTTTATTCTCTCAAGAATCTATCGTAATTATTGATGTCTACATATACTATTATTTGTGCGAGAATTTGAATTTTTTTTTCTATTTTAAAATATTTTATTGAGTAGATATGATATTCGCACGATCTGAAATGATAAAATTTACTCAATGAGATAAAAATAATCATTCTACCCACCTCAATCATGAAGAAAAACCTTTATGATCTTCATTTTCAGACCCGGATCCAAGTTGGACCCGATCCTGATGAGCACTAGCCTGAACTCGAACTGTACTTTTAGATTCTCAGTAAATTTTTCTACTTGAAATCTGATAGTTGGTTCGAAAATAGTTTTGTTGTTGCTTTTTCTACTATTTTTATAAATAAATTCAAGACTTTTTGAATAAAATGAATAAAAAATTAAAGAAATTCAAAAAAAATATTATGTTAATAACATATTTCTTTCGATTCGGGTCCGGTCAGTAAAAGCTTCGATACCCGGACCCGATGAGCTCTATCTGCCGCACTCTACGTCTTCCTTAAATTATATTCATTTTTTATTGAATACAATGTTTTCAAACTGAATAAAATGATATATTTATTAAAATTCTTGAATAATTTAGTTAAACAATATTAAATATTTTCTTTAGTTCAATTATTAATCTCCAATCTGATTCTTGCAGTTCATCACGAAAATAAGCCTTGATGATATCAATTGATTCTCGAGATATCTAAATAAAAACGAAAATTCTTCATTTTAGTTTTAGGAATTAAATTATGTTATTTTACCTTGCTCATTAAAATATCATCTTTATCGAAATGTCGACCGTACATTTTTGCTGTGTCATTTGTTGTTGATACAATTTTAATACATACTTCTGAACCTTTTCGTGCTATATCCAATGATTTGTGATTCATTTCTATACTTGCAATTCGTCCAAGATCAATACCCTAAATTTATTTTTAATTTTTACTCCAATTAAAATTTCTATGAATACATACATCTTTGGATGGAACACATATCGGTGTACCTATTTTGATGAAACCATCTTCAATACGAACACCACAAATAATTGGATCACGTGAATTAAATATATTTTGTGGTAGAATTTTTAATTTGCATGGAAATACTGCAAGATGACGATATTTGTCTTGATTTTCCTTTATTAATTGATTTTGATATGCAACAAACATTGAACATAAATTATAGATTTCATCATTTTGAAAGATTTTTACACCTAAATAACAAAAAGTATATTCAAAAAAACCGAAGTGCGTACGATATACCCATTGTCTTAGCATAATCTTGTGCATCTCTTTCAATTTTAACATCAAATGCCAAGATAGTAGCCCATCTAATTAACAAAATAAAAATTATTGAAAAATAATTTTTTATTTTTATTTACTTTATATCATTTTCAAGTTGAGTTGATGCACGAAGTACATCCTTTCGATGGACAGGTCCAATATTAACACCTGAACACTACAATAAACAAATAAATAAATGGTCAATATGAAATAAATTTGAAAAAATATTTTTACTGGAATCTTTTGTATTTTTAAAAGTTCAAGAAAAGCTTCTAATGAACCTAATGTTGATGCTTGAATATAAACTCCGCTTTCTTTTAATTTGAAAGAATTAAGTACTGTTGTTAATATTAATTCAATTTCATTTTTAAAATAATCAATTTCATCATGTGTTCGTGCAATAAATAATGGTAAACCAGCTAATGATTTTTCTAAATCTTTAGCAGCAATTTTAACAACACATGTACCCATAACTTTATCTTTATTTTCATATTGATTCTAAATGAAAATTATGATGAATTTTATAAATATATAAAATCATTTACTGTATCACGAAGTTCCTGATTTGATTCAGGAATAAGTAGTCGTCGTATTTGTGTAACAATAGGACCTTCTTGACCACCAACAATAATTTTATCACCAACAGATAAACATCCATTAATAAGAGCAACATCGATTGTTGTTCCAAGACCATGAATTGCTTTTACCTATAGATATCAAACATATTATATAGATCAGATCTTTCGTTTAACTAACCTCCATAACAGTTGCTTGTAATTCATTAGTGTATGATAGATGTTTTGCTAAATTTGTTTGAGATGTTTCAATAATCATAGCAATTAATGAACCCATTCCATCACCAGAACGTGCTGATGTTGGTACCATAGAATAATATTCATTTGGATTAGGATTTTTATAATAAAGTGCAACATTAAGGCCTTGTTTAGCAAATTGAACAATAATCTCATCATAACGTTTTTCAAAATGATCTTGCGTAAATGAATCTTGTTCTTCAAGTACAGATTCAACATCTTTTTCTTTATTACTTTTCCACCCATATAATAAATCAATCTAAATATTATTCATACGATTATATAATTTATTAAATTGACGACTTTAATACCTTATTTAAAGCAATAATAAATGGTGTTTGTCTATCAATTAATAAACGAATTGATTCAATTGTTTGTGCTTGTAATCCATTCATGATATCAACAACCAGAATAGCCAAATCACAAAGAGATGAACCACGTGATCGTAAATTTTGAAATATTGCATGGCCAGGAGTATCAATAATCAAAAGACCTGGTATCATAAAATCACCTTGTCGTGATATTAGTTTTCGAGACATTTTCGTACGTTCAACAATAGTATCTAATGGAACATTTGTTGCACCCATTTGTTGAGTTATTCCTCCAGCTTCATTATCTTGAACATGTGTTCGACGTAAATTATCTAATATTGTTGTTTTACCAGCATCAACATGACCCAAAACACATATGACTGGTGCTCGAAGTGTATCTTTAGTTTGAACTAAATCTTCATTACAGATATTTTCTTCTTCCGAATTTTCATCCTAATATAAATTTTGTTTTCTAATTATCTTTACATCAAATAAAAGTCTTACTTCAGTTGATGGTGTAGTTATACATGTTGAATTTGTTTTTTGAAAATCATTGTAGAGTATTCTTTTTTGAATACCTGATTGTTGAACATTAGTGCGTGGTGGAACATGAATACCGAGTGATTCAAATTGAATTTGTGCACGATGATGTTTTTCTCGTTGTTCTTTCGTTAAATATAAACCTTCTTGTTTTTGTCGTTGAATACGTTTTTTCTTTGCTTCTCTCTTTTTTTCACGTTTTTTTTCGAGTAAAAGTAATTCTTCTTGTTTTTTACGTTCATATTCTTCTTGTAAGCGTTGATTTTCTTTTGCTTCTTCATCTGCTTTTAATTCAGCATCTCTTTGAGCTTGTTGCTGTTCTTTTATCAAATTTAACTAAAAATATGATTTTATTTTAGGCTAAGATTTAAAAAAAAGAAAAGATTTTCATACTATTTTAAAATTAGGGACATTTTTCTTTTTCGAAGATATTTTGTCATTAGCTTTCTTTTCTGTTGTATCGATATTGTTGATTTCTTCCGCAACATTTGTTGCTCTAAATTAAAACAGAATATCAAAATAAAGAAGTACATATCGAGAGAACTATTACTTGGAAAGTGACATTTTTGTATTTTTGTTGGACATTTGTATATAACATTCGGGTATGCGTTAATTTTCGATAGAAATTGATGCATATGATGATTACAAGAATTCGAATATAAACTACCTAGTAAAAAGACTCCCTTATATAGTGGAGACAAGAATTATGTAATTCTTTTGCATTTGTCAGAAAGCAAAGAAAATGAGTCATACTAGTGAGTATTTCGCAATCCTTGACTTTTTTCCTTCTCTATTTGCTTTTATTTCGTCACATAAAATAATTTTATCATAAATATGTTCTCGTATGTTACACAATATTAACAATGAAAAAAAAAATTATCGTTTTTAATGTCTGTGCATGTATCACCGGACCTGAGGTTATCTATTGAGTATAATCTTATAAGATTATATGTTAGCGGAATGGATTTCTTAGTGTATTATATACACATTTGAATGTAAAACGAGGTAACATTGCTGTTATAATAATAAAGATATTTGTAAACCAAAATTGACTTTCTCGGAATGTTCGATATGATACTTTATATGGACTTTCGGCTGGAATGCAATTGATACAAGTAGCATCAAATACAAGTGTAAAACCAAGAAAAACTAAGAAACTTAATATTGTTGAACCAACAACTGACCAATCAATACGTCTTGTTTGTAGAAAAACATGTATTAAAGAAGTTATTATCATACTAAATACAAGTGAAAAACCAAATGATAATCGATCAATTTCTGATTCGTGTCGATAAGAATAATAAGATATAAAAAATATAATTGCACTTTGCCAAACAGCATCAAACATATTGATCCAATATGATGACATAGTATATGATTTTCCATGTAAAGTATATTGATAAAGTTGAGGTTCACGTAAAGCTCGTTCAGCTGGTACATGTTGATCAAATAAAGCAGCAGCACACTAAATAGATACATATTTATTTCATTTATTTATATATAAATAGTTACTTGAGGTAGAACAGTAAATAAACTTGTGTAGAGAATAATATCTAAAAATAATGAGTTCATAGAGAGTACAGAAGAAAAAATTACTTACAAAATGAATGAATAGAAACTTCACCAGAATATCCATTAAAAATTTGATGATAAAAAATTACAAGTACATATTGACAGTTATGCATAAATGTATATAAAATTAATTCACTTGTACGTGTAAAACACCAAGCACCATGAACAAGTAATAGATAACGAAGACATTCAAAGCGATCAACAGCAAAATCACCAGCAGCTACTGCTTGTGATCCTTCACGACCGAAAACAGCAATACCACAATGAGATTCACGAATCATACCAACATCATTGGCTCCATCACCAATTGCTAAAATTCGATGTTTAAATACGGATTTTGCAATGGTAACAAGTTCACGTTTTTGTGTAGCTGATACTCGACAAAATAAAACGGATTGACATTGAGCAGCTGCTCGAATAAATTCTTTTGGTTTATATTGAAGAATAATACCTAAATCATCACCCGTTACGACTAAACAAACAGGATGTGTTTGCGCAGCAATAACTTCACTCATTCGAGCAATTGTTTCACTCGTACGTATTTCATTCGATATTCTTCTATCTCGATGACCTAATTGTTGATCCATTTCAATTAATTGTGAACTATAATAAATCATATGAGTATGTGTTGTAACATCAAACTCCCAAGTTAACATCGATGGTGTATTATCAGAATTAATTGTTTGTGGAATATTAACTAATGACGCAGCTTGTGCTGTACTTAAAGCGGTCGCTTGTTTATCACCAGTTAAAAGCCAAATTTTAATTCCAGCACAACGTAATGTTGCAATCGTTCTTGGTACACCTTCTTGTAATTTATCTTCGACAGCGGTTAATCCACTTAACATTAAATTAACTTCAATTTGTGTTGCAACATCGGATATAGCATCTTCACGTTTATCAAGTGAATTAGCAGCAAATCGATATTGTTCAAACCAATTTTCATATTCTTCCAATGGTATTTGTCGATAAGCAACTAATAAAGAACGATAACCTTGTTCAGCAAAACCTAAACTATGTTGTTCAGTTGTTAATTTCATATCTGCATCATTGGAATCATTTAAATTTGACCATATCGATGTTTCAGCACCTTTAATATACAAAAATATTTCATTATTAACACGAACAATAATTGACATTCGTTTTCGAGTCGAATCAAATGGTATTAAACATAATATTTCATATTCAATATCACGTTTTTCTGTATCTGTTGAATCAATATAACGAACAATAATTGTTTGTGCTGAACGTGATATCATCCGAACACCAAAATCGGATGCTGCTTGACAAAGTACAAGATCATCCGCATTATCACCTTCATATTTTGGTTGATAATTAATATCATGCATTAATTCACGATGTTCATGAACAATAAATGATGTATTACAAATTGCAAGTGCTGTTAAAAAATGATGAATTATTGGATCAATCTTTTCAGGTAATTCAGAACGATTTGAATATTGTAAACCATTAATAGATACTGCTTTGAATACAAGTTTATTTTGTGTTATTGTACCTGTTTTATCCGTAAAAATATAACCAATTTGACCAAGATCTTCATTTATTGTAAATGTACGACAACTAATTGGATGTTCATATTTTAAATTTTTATCTCTTGCTATGGTATACATTTGTAAAACACGTACAATATCTAATGAAACATATAATGCTATAGGAACGAGTACTTGAAATAATATCATAAAACGTAATGCTGATGCAAAAAAATGACTTGCTGCATCGATCGATGGATTATCGATAAGAAATGTTACAAATCTCCATTGATTTCCAAATGAATGTTCCCAACGTAATGATAAACCAGCACCAAGTAAACATAAAAATATTAAAATTAAACTTGAAAATAAGACATCACGATTAATATATCGTTCAATAAGTGCATGTTTACTTGATGATGTTTTTGATGATTTTATTATTTTTGTTTGATTACCAGCATATATAATAATTCCATCGATATAATCAGTTATTCGTAGTACACATCCACGTAAAAGTATATTATTATTATCACATGAATAAATATTTGTTCCTGATGATAATACAATTCGACCATGAAAATGATAAATATCATCATTGGGTGGATCACATTGTAATTCAAAATTCATTTCTTCAGGTTTAGTTGAATTAAAAAAACAAGATGGAATACTTTTTTGTTTCAGATTTGTTTCACCATCAATAGCAGCTGTATCCAAATAACACGTATGTTCAGATGATACTGATGATAATAGAAGAATATCAGCTGGTACTGTTTGATCAATACGTACTCGTATTATATCACCAACGGATAAATCTTGCCATTGACACTCGATAAATGTCTGTAGTGTTCTATTTAAAAATCAATTTGAAGGATGATTATATAATCCATGAGTATATACTTACTTATCATAAACTTCAGCTTTTTGTTTATTAATATTTACATCACTTCTCCATCGTTTTAAATCTTCAACAAGATCTTTAACTGCAGTTATAATTAATATCACTGTTAATGGTATAAAAGCAACCTTTAAAAAAATGAATTTATAAAAAATATAAATATTGAATAAAAAAAATTTATTTACAGTTTTAGAAATTGCATTTATAACTGGTACCCAATTGAGACCAATTAATATAGCAAAATAAATATTTGCTATACGATGAAATTGTTCAAAAAGATTTTTTGGTATAAATGTTAATATATTATAACGTGTTGTTCGAATACGATTTGATTTTGTTGAATGTGTTCGTCGATTTTTAATAGCAATCCATAAAGATGACTCCGTATCAGGTGTAGCATTATAATAAATATGATAATCTTTATTTTCTATTGTAGTTGTTTGATTATCATTCGTTTCTGAACGTTTTGGCTTTCGATGAAACGATGGTACAATAAGAAAATTACCCATCGATTTTTCAATAAATTCTTTATACTTTTTTACCTACATATATATAAATTTATAGTGGGTTATACTTTACACTTACCTCTTGAAGATACAATATATATTTTTTTTTCTCTTGTTGTTATGTACCCTCTTTCTTTTCTTCTGTACACGAATGTGATTATTATCGATAACGAACACGGGTGATTTTTTTTTCTTCGTAGTATGTGTGTATGAATGAAAAGGATAAGAAAAAAAATCTTCTTTCGTCTTCCTACGTAAACAAATCGATCAATTAATGAAATTTATATACAAAGTAATGACTAAGAATAAAAAATATTTCTCCTCATTTATACTTGAATAATAACATTCACACGTGGTATTTATTTACTTCAAACACACGTATCATAAACAAATGTTCAAGAGAAATTTCTTATCATAGGAAGAAAAAAAAATAATAATTTTTTTTACAATAAATGCTCTTTTGATAGTTTATATGGCAATAAAATTAATAGGGTGTGAATGTTAAAGAACATATGTGCGTGCTTTTAAAACGAGTGAAAAGAAGAAAAGTCGTAGATATAGAAACACGTCAACAATAATAAATGATAAAAGCACAAAAAGAAAAAAAGAACACTTATTATTTTTCTTACAGGGGACTCAGTTAGGGAATATTAAATATTCAAATTACATACATTTTAAAATAAATTATCTCATTATGCACACACACATAAACGATGGCATCGAAGTAGAAAAGGACATACGTAATTATTGTAAAAATCTTTCATAGAAAAAAAAACAGTCTTTGACTTTAGTCGATATTTTTTATTCACTAACAGCTGTTTCTTGTTTTTTCATCGTTTGATAAGTGCGTAAATATACTGATAAGAAGGTCTGGAACTAAAATACATGTTAATATTTTATATAAGTAACTCTTGTATGTCGACAGAATAGTTTCTTCAGTTCTTTTCGAAATAGTGTACTTGAAAGTGTAAATAAATAGAAGCTTAAACAAGGACCATTATTTGAAAACATACCAATAGCTGCTATAGTCATATTATCTTGAGCTAATTGAAATACATTTTTTGGTTGATTAGCATTTATTGATATTAAAATCATTGCAATAGAAAATGCTAATCCTGTTGCAGAATATACTAATACTTGTAGAAATAACATTCGAAGTATATGTCTATTGATTTTCCAATGGTTTCGATTCGTTTTATCTTCCGAATTAGTTGATGATCGTGCAACTAGTCGTTTCGATCGTTGAGTATTTTGTAATGTTAGTATACCAAATAGAAGCATACAAAGTGATGGAGATAATCCAAAATAGATTAAATTTAAAAATGATAAAATAATAGAATACGTTCCTGGACGACCCGAAGGAGAGCAAATAGGTTTTTGTATAGCTGGTATTGTATCTATATCAAAATAGATAGGTACATGAATATAAACAAGAAAACCTATAAATATTGTCAATGGTATAATTCGTTTGGCTACGTATATACTGCTCCATGCTCGTTTTCCGATTGATGTGGAACTAGATAAATATCGATCACAACATGCTAAAACAATCAACCAAGGACATAATCCCCTATATAAAAAATACGTAATACTAGATAATTCAGTAAACTACACATACCTTATTGAATATAATGTAAACCATATTATTTTGCAAAATAGTGAAGAATGTGCACCTGGATCTGTGTCGATAAAGGCAGATTGAATCATTCTCATTGGTAAAGTATAACATGTATTAACTAGACCAACAATAGTAGCTGCTAAAAAATACATACTACAAGGATTTGATCGTAATGTACGGCGAGTAAAGACATAAATGCTCATTAAATGACCTGCAGTACCAAGTGGTATAACAATATAACAATAACATCGAATAAACATCATGGCAATGAAATTTAAATTGTCTGCTGCTAATTGCAGATTTACTATAGATAATGATGACATGTATTCTTTGGAACAATAACGAATAGAAGTAAGGATTGGCTTTCATCTAAAATGAATGATAAAATACATAAGTTCTTTTCCTTTTATATAAATGACGACATATGTAATCATTATAAGATTTTTAATGATGCAAAAATGACGTTGAAGAGTTGCCAATTATAATCTAACATTTACGATAAGACAGGGATTCTAGTGATAGTTTCTATGAATAAATGTTGTGTATTTTGTAAACTTTTTTTTTAGGTTGTATTGTAGAACAATTTCATTATTTACTTATCTAAATAATTCAAACATTGATATAGTCTCTAGGAATTGTTAACATCATATACCATGCCAGACATTCATACATCGTATTATCTTGTAACCGTAGAGTTCTACACATGTAGTTATTGCCATTATAATGAAAAGTAATGGCTAAAACTACATGAAAATGCAACATCTCACAGCAGGGATCGGATGTGGATGTCACAACTACTATATTTTTACTTGAATACAACTCTTTAGATACGACAATATTAGATCAAGATGCGTCTTGCTTCAATGCTAATCAAGTTAATTGTTTGACAGATCGACTGATTAGTACATCCTTCGTTGACTAAAAAATGTCAAAAACTAACTATTAAATATAGTTGTTTACAATACTTTTGTTGTCAATCCGAATATATGAGTACAACTGAAAAATAAATGTAATATTCGTAGTTCATGCACTTTTTTTTCAAGATATATATATATATGTTGTCTTTAATAAATAATTTCAATTTTAGAAAACTTACATTGATATCTAGTATTTTATTTATAGATTAGATATTTATCGTAATGTCAATGTAATGAAGAACGTTTTAACATCAACAGTCTAAAACAAAAATTATAATTAAATTTTTTTTTCTTCATTGAATTACAATTACAGACCTATCTGTGGATGATTGTATCTTAAAGATTGACAATTCAATATTCTATTTTTTCATTTGTTTCCAATACAACTATCATAGTAATTATTACTAAATATTTGACAAGAACAATTTTAACACGTTGACTGTCCGGTGCATCATATGTGATGCACGATACTTTTGAGTAAAAAGTCTTCGCATCACGTACGACGTGCTTGTAGCATAGGATATCTTAAGCTAGAATTTGTTAGACGTTACTAATCGACCATTCTTGAAATATAGGACGAATCAGAAAAATATCAATGGTATATCATAATATTAAGAATAATCAAAAAAGGGCGTACAACAAGTATTACTTTTTTTCTCATGGGACAGTCAACGTGTTAATTATATGAAAGAGGATTCATCATCAACTAAGACGTCATTTTCTCTAAAGCACTTTATCTCAATCTGACAGTAACAGACTAAGCCGATTATGAAATTAACCTACAACTGACTAGGGGTAATCGATGTTGTATACATGTTATTAGATGCGTCGCACTGCTGTATTATATTATTAGCAAGCTTTTAAAATGTCTGAGTTATTACATGTTTGAACAATATCAATATGAATTGACTTCCCTTGATTCTCTTTCGTATACGACGAATAATTACGTACGATAGTGAAAATTAAAATTTACTTCTATCTAACTTCATTATTATTACAGAAAATTTATTTGAATTTTTTTTATCATTTACGAGACAGTAACCCTCTAAAGATGTCACTCCTAAAGGACCAATTTTGCTAGTACCACTAAGCTTGCCGAAAGTTAGAAAAAATAATAAAAATAAAAGTCACACATCATAAAAAAAATAACTTATGATGAAAATGCTCAAGCCTTAAGCGCACATTGAAGTAAAGTCTGAGATTGTCCCCTTAACTCCATGCGTTGTTGACTAATACTTAAATACTTCTGTCTCGATATCAATCAATATTTGAAAACAATAAAATAATTATTAATATTTTTTAATAAAATTATCTGTAAAACTAATTCTATATGCGACATATAATAAATGAATGATAGCATTTTTCAAACAAATACGCTGTAAAAATTTAATACGAAAATTTTTATCAATAATCTGAATTGGAATTGGTGCATCTCCAATTGTGACAATTATTAAAAGAACTTTTGAAAATTCATTCTAAATATAGTTTAGATTTATAAAATACCTGTTCTAATCATTTAAAACTACTGGAATTTTGTTGAAGATATTTCATTTCGTTTATGTCATTGGAATTTCCAATGCTAATACTAAACGCTATTTTTAGAAAAAATATCATTTGATTTATTTGCTCGATTTAACAACTTTCCATTGAGTAATTTACTACTATTATAAAAAAAAGTATATTTAAATTCCAAAATAATTTTTGTCCTTGTTTACCCGATGAATAATATAAAAGAAATAAAATTTTGTACTCAATAATCATGATAACTCGAGAATAATGACATGAATAATCAAAAGAAACAAACCACATATTGCGTTAGAAATTTAAAATAAATTTATCATTATTAATTAAATTTATTATTTTAGAAGCAATCAATGGCATATTTTTATCGATAACATTTAAAAATAAAAATATACGTAAAGTTGGTCGTGGAATATATTTATTTGATTCATCGATAACAATTTTATTGACAATGATTATGTTTAGATTAAAATATTTTATTGATCTTTCAACACAAATATCAAATTCATACAATCAATCATTTTTAAAAGTTCAATGTTATTTACTAGATTTTGTTCTTCAAATTTGTCTTAATATGGATTAATAATTAAATACATGTGAGGCAATGAAAAGAGCAATAACAATTATTAAAGGTGCTCAATTTGATAAAAACAAAAGTAAGTAATTAGCTAAAAAAGTTTTAACATCAATACATGATATATTTTATCGACGTTTATTCGAAGAAAAAAAATGATGATGATGATAGTAAGGAAAGAATTTGGTTTATTCTAAACTATTCTTCAATTTTAGAAATTCATAATCAAATTATTACTACATTTCATTTTACGAATTATTTTTATAACATAAGAAGTCTCATCGTCCCAGGAATCGATCTTTTAAAACTGTGCTATATGAGTAAGTTCAAGAAAATCAATATTAATTAATTGCATCTGCAGTTTTTTTTCTTTTTGCATTACTATGATTAATTCTTACTTATGCATTGAACAAGAGATGCTTGGTTATTTCTTTGTGATTATTTTATTTTATTTATTCATCCAATGATTACTTTTCTTGTCTTTGTTTCACCATCAGAATTTTATAGAGAAAAAACTATTAAAAACAGATTCAACAACGTTTTCGTCGAATGTTATAAAGATTAGATTTTGTGATATTAAATATTTCGTTTTCTTATATATATTTTTGCTTCTTTGTCTGTTTCATGATATTTTTGTTGAATGATTTTATTATTTAACCCTTGAAGTACTAACGAGTCCTATAGGCCTCGCTTTTTCAAGATTTAACAAAACTTCAGTAACTCACAAAAACGATACAGTACCAACGTGCAGTCATCGGTATGACATACAAGACACTTCGATATCTGTTGTACCTAGACTATATTTATTACTTTAAGAAGTTGGCTTAAAAATTATTATAGGTACTCTGATTCATCCTTATTTGAAACTGATAGTTAATGAAGAATGATACATAATTAAGTCTTTTTTTTACAAGTTTATCTTAATTATCTACATAATAGTTATATACAGACTTTCTGTTGAAAGAATACAACAACAAGAAGGATAAAAGCTAGTTTAAACATTTACCACTAGAAATGCTTTTTTTCACTTACGTTTGTTAAACAACAAACACGACTCAACACGTTTTTTCTCCATTAAAGCAAATCAAACATTTATTTTTCATGAACTACTGCTATAGGTAGTCAACCATGACAATATTTCATTACTGTGTTTTTTTCGTTCTTCATTATAGTTATTTTTCATAATTACATCATCACGAGGTGAAGAAAAAACCATTTCGAAATAAAATAAGCACTTATAAAACGAACCGGTTTTGATCATTACATCACCAGTAAATTTTACACAATAATTTGAATCCAAAGCATTTATACAGTCAACAATGACCAATAGAAAATCAACAACAAGTAACGAATTGGATGGTGCAATAAATACATTTCCGTTTGCAGAAGAAGCAGAAGATCGTCAACGTATCAATATTCAAAACATGCAAAATGTTCTTCTTATCTGGTTAGATAGTAACATTGATGAGACAAATGATGATTGTCAAAATATAATCAAACAACTGCGACGGGCTATCAACGACATCAATACATTTACAGATGGTGATCAATGTTTGGAATTCATTCAAACAATCGTTAACAAAAAGGCATGTATGGTTATATCTGGATCACTTGGAGAACATATCGTACCACGTGTGCACAATATGTCTCAAATAGATTCAATTTTCATTTTTTGTGACAACCAAAAATATCATGAACGATGGGCTACAGACTGGTCCAAAATAAAGGGTGTCTACACAGATATTACATCCATCTGTGAAGCACTCAAGAAAGCTGCTCATCAATGTGAGCACAATGCCATTCCCATGAGTTTCGTGAGATCAAATAAAAAGTTGGATCAGTTAGATCCTTCTTTTATGTATACTCAAATCATCAAAGAGATATTACTCAGCATAAAATTTGAACAAAAACACATTCAAGATTATATTAATTACTGTCGCGATGTTTTTGTTGACGATGAAGAAGAAATGGTTCATATTAAACAATTTGAAGATGAATATCACGACGAATCACCAATTTTCTGGTACACCTGTGACATGTTCCTCTATCCCATGATCAATCGTGCATTACGATTGTTGGATGGTGATATCATTACACGGATGGGCTTCTTCATTGGTGATTTGCATAGAAATATTGAACAACTACACAAGGAACAATATGCTGGTAAAACTGCTGCTGACACCTTTACCCTTTATCGTGGACAAGGTTTATCTAAAGAGGATTTTGAACAACTGATGAAAGCTAAAGGTGGTCTTATTTCATTTAACAACTTCCTATCTACCAGTGAAAACGTCAAAGTTTCACTAGGTTTTGCACAAAATGCTACAAGAAATCCAGATCAAGTAGGAGTTCTTTTTATCATTCAGATTAATCCTGCTCAATCAACAACACCCTTTGCTTCTATTCAGAGTATCAGTGCTATGAGAAAAGAAAAGGAAGTCTTATTTTCGATGCATAGCGTGTTTCGCATCGTGACTACTAAACAGATGGATGGAAACAATTGTTTATATGAAGTTAAGTTGACACTTACTACTGACAATGATTCAGAATTGAACAGACTTACTGATTACATTCAACAAGAGTGTTATCCAAATGCAGAAGGATGGCACAAATTGGGTTCGGTATTACGTAAAATGGGTCAATTAGACAAAGCTGAAGATATTTATCAAGTTTTACTTGATCAAACAGACAACGATGAAGACAAGGCATCTCTTTGTTGTCAACTTGGTTTAATCAAAAATGCTCAAGGAAAATATAGAGAAGCACTTTCATTCCACGAAAAAGCCCTTGAAATTCGACAACAATCACTCTCTTCCAATCATCCTGATTTGGGTGAGTCTTACAACAACATTGGTGAAGTGTATGACAACATGAATAATTATCCCAAAGCACTTTCATTTTACGAAAAAGCGCTTGAAATTCGACAGCAATCACTTCCTTTCAATCATCCTGATTTAGGTGAGTCCTTCAGCAACATTGGTAAAGTACATGCCGACATGGGTAATTATCACGAAGCACTTTCTTACTATGGGAAAGATCTTGAAATCAGTCAACAATTACTTCCTCCCAATCATCCTAGTTTGGCTACTATCTACAGCAACATTGGCTCAGTGCATAGACACATTGGTAATTATCCGAAAGCACTTTCATCTCATGAAAAAGCCCTTGAAATTAAACAGCAATCACTTCCTCCCAATCATCCTGATTTGGCTATAACCTACAACAATATTGGTACGGTGTATGAAATAATGGGTGATTATTCAAAAGCCCGTACATTTTATGAACACGCTGTGCAAATTGGACAACTATCATTACCATCAAATCATCCTCATTTTCAAATATATAGAAGGAGCCTCGAAGTTATAAAAAACAAATAATAAATTGTATTGCTATGAATTTCGTTTCTATGTAAAGAAAAAATAACTTTTTTAGAGACATGTCTTCTAGAAAAAGAACGGCCATTCAACAGGCTGTTTAAAGTAACGAAAAGAGAGAAAAAGAACTGTATTGAACCGAACTGGACACTTTTTTAAATTGATTTCCTCAGCTCTGACATATGTAAAAAGATACGCTCAAATGAATTAATAATTCTGACTGAATATTATTCAAACTGATATTTAATATCTATTAATCAATCGAAAATATTCATATAAAGTAGTAAGTTGATTGTTAGTTATGATAAAAATGATGCTGAAAAATCTTGAGAGTGTGGGTGTGGGTATTATCTTCGTCGTACCTTTTCTGTTGGAAAACAAGTCACGCTTTTTTTCTTCAAATTCAGAAACAATCAAAATATACTATTGTATGCAAAAAATTCTAAATTCTTTATAACATATCCTTTTATTTAACACTAATTAAGAGTTAGTATTTGTACATGTAGTAGAAGTTCTGTTAAATTTCAGCACTCGATGTGATACGTCAAGAACATATAGGTTTTCCAATCTATCAAATGCCATTGCATCCAGTAAAGAATCTGGTATTGTCTTGTCTTCACGAGCGCGATGGTCTTTCAAAATCGTTACATTAAATTTACCATCTGACGTCAATAGACTTATTTTCTCAGTGGTAGCTAAAATAATATTGCCAGTTTTATCCGCAATCAGTGCCCAGCCATAGTTAGACGTTGACTGTACATCAGAAAATATTTCTTTCTTAGTTGTTCCATCAAAAATAACTGTTCCTGTTGTCGAACTGTTGGTAAATTTTAGAATGCGAGGACCGATTGGATCTATTAAATATATTATATTATCAATTTCATCGACTGCCAAAGCATTTTTTACTCCTGCCACACCAGAAGTTAAGCCAGATCCA